CTATGGCACGTTTCTGGTGCCTGTACCTCCCTCTGGCCCACATGCAGACCGCTTTGCTACCGTCCAGTTATTAGTGAAGGTTAAGGTTTCCTACACGTGTAGCTGCTCTCAGAGAGAGCACATCGCCTCATGTGCGGTAATCGTTCTTTCTCCATTATGTACTTCAGTGTGCGCTTTAGCAGAGCGAGTTTTAACCTTGAATCTGGTTTGTTTCTTTGTTAATTTTTCAGCCAAGAGTGACTGAAACTCCCTCTTCTGAGAAACCAGGATTCACATTCCTTGCAGGGCTCTCATATATCCTCGTTGTAGTCCTGGTTTTCAGTGGGTGTGGTGTGTGTGTGCACCGGCCAGCTGTATGCATGCATTGTTTTCTTGAGGTGCTGTGAAATGATTTACAGGCACTTTGGAATTTTGCACCAAAGCATAGCGATAAACATATTTGAGGGTGATTAAAATATTTCTCAATTTTCTCACCTGTTGGGTCTTTTTCAATTTATTTATTTGTGTCTGTGCCAGTCGGCTTCCTCTGTGGCAGCTGGTAATCCACTTCAGCTCTGCACCGAGGAGTATCCCATGTGTCCATATAAGGCCAAACTTGCTTGTGGGCTTGACGCAAATGAGTTCAAGGCATTGATCTGATCTGCTGCCTGGCTGCACTCTAACCTCACTCTGCTCTGGAAATTATTACTGGAGCCCTCACTTCACGCACAGACACACAGTACCCTCTACCCTCACTTGTACTCATGCATCTGCATTCGCACACATTTTTTGCAGGAAGGGTAAATACACCTTGGTGTAAGGGAATTTGCTCGACATGTCATTGTTTATAAAGTAGAAACGTGCAAAAGCAGCAGATGAGACTAGTGCGTGTGCACCCGACAGGAGTCAAAAGGTCAGGACTTGCAGACGTGGCTGAGCGGGTGTGTGTAGAGTAGCGATGTTGGATGTCTTCAGCACACCGTGTGGCGATGTTTGACTTGACCTTTGTAAACTAAAGCATACAACATGCATAGTATTCAGGGAGCTTGATGTGTTTGTTTGTGAAGGTATGTTCAACTCTATACATAGCCTGGTAATAAGTTTACCAAAAGGGAATGGAGGGGAGGAGGTGGTTTAAACCAGCAGATGATTAATGGAACAGGGAGGGAACTGGTAATACATCCGCCCCGAACCATCAGCACTGGCACAAGATGAGAAAGGCCACTGTCAGGGAGCCCCAGAGCGGCTCAGCAGGGTAGGGTGGGCCAGGGCAGCAGTATTGTTGTTTTATGGCTCTAAGGTTTGACCCTTTTCTCTGTTTTATTAATTATCATGATTTATTTTGATTGCTGAAACTGGAGCTTTGCAGCTTGGGGTCGTTCTCTGCCCTGACAGGAGAGAGCTGCTTAGAAATAATCATCTGTCTATGCAATGCTATGTATTCCTATGAATAAATGCCCTGATGAAGGGAGTAGTGTAGATGGGTATAATTCAGACAAATCTGAACTTGTACAGTGTTTGCACACTATTTCAGCTGAGTGGTCTCTCTCTTCACTTCCAGTTTAACTTAATCCTCCTCCAGTACTGGTTGTCACAGCATGTGCTTTTAGCTCAGACCCAGTAAACAATATAGCTCACTATATTTTCAGTACCTGTAGAACCTTGAGTTCTTGCCATGTTTGACCACTTCTGAAGCTGCTTCCATATGTTGCACAATAAATGAAACCCTGTGAACTTAGTGTAAGAGTTTAGAGAGTGTGTTGAGATGGTCGGGATTATGGGTAAGCCGTGAACTCTCTCTAATTGACCGTGATTGATTGAGCCACTTTGGATAGGTTTGAGGTTTTCAGTCCATGGAAAGCTGCTGCTGGGAAGGAAGTGAGTCAGTGCAACCAGCAGTGCAGTACAAGCCTTAGCAAGCCTACTTATGAAACATTAAAACATGTATAGCTCACTCTTCGCCACAGTATGGTTCCTGCCATGTAAGGCAGTCGTTTTCTGGTTTAAATCAGTGAGTAAGTACGTTTGAATAAATGCTCCCAGTAGTTATCTGTAAGCTTTGTCTTGCCCTGATTTCTTCAGGATTATCCTCTCTCTCATCACCCTGTCAGTCACCACCATCTCCATCCTGTTTCCTGACATTGTACCTCATGGGCTGAGTCAGGTGACTCTGCAGTCACCAACAGGTGTGATGGTGACAAATCTTCAGTAAAGGTGCTCCATGTTTTTCTGTACAACACAGTGTGTGCGTACTTGTATGGCTGTACATTATGAGGACTGGTTTGAGGTTTAGATTAGATTAGAATGAGGTTTAGGGTAGAGGCATTTAGTTGTGATGGCTAAGGTTAGGGTAAGGCATCAGGCAGTGGCTATACAGACGTGTGTATGTGTCACCTGTTTATTATGTGTTATTTCTGACTCATGTCCAATAGCAGCACCAGCGACCCTGTGTGAAAAGCTTTCTCTCTGGGTGTAACGGCTGCTCTCTGGGTGACAGTGCTGTTGTTTGGAGCTGCAGTGACCGTTGGTTACCCAGAAGTCTGTGCTCTGGTTTGAAAAATGTCTTCGGCGATGGTCGGTGGTGTGAGGTTCTGTCACTGAGCACCTGAATTTATGCTTTGTTCCTCCTCCTGGTACAGTTAACTCTCTGTAAAAGCCACTGTCAAGTGGATGTTTTGTCAAATGGACTCGTTCTGCACGAGTGTGTGTGTTTCTATCCTCGGCTCTCTAAACGGTTGGCCTGTTTTCTTTGGCAGGCACCAAAGTTTAAGGTGTGTTTTATTTGCTAGAATTATGCCCGCTCATTACTTTTCTGTGCAGGGAAGCTATTGGTCAGTATGTTTTTTATTTGGCTCTTTTCAAATACGTAAAGGAAACGTCAGTTAGTGCCACTGGATTGTCTCAGTGTTGCAACCAGTCCAAACTGACTCGAGGTACAACCATCTGTGCACTGATTGGTCCATTTAAAACTTGTTGTAAACATCAAATGCAGCTGCCCTGGAAGTCAAAGTGTGCCATACAGATTCAGGGATTATGTATCTCTTGTCATCACATTATGACTTTATTTCCCTTCTGTGTGCTTGTATTTAAAAATATTACTGGTGTCTGTCACATGTTCTGCATTTGTTCTGTCCACGGCTATTTTTGTCTGTTGAACATTTTCCTATGTGATTTTTGTTTTATGTTTAAATTCTTATGCACAGTACATGGGCCAAAAATGCAGCCAGGCATAAAATACTAATCAGGAGTTACTGGTTTTGAGTAGCAGCCCAGGCTTGATGCTGTGTCTGTTAGATCTCAATAATGAATAAATAAATCAGTCAGGCCTAAAACTTGGCAGCGTACTGGCAGTGTAATCACATCATGACTTTCATGCAGCAGCGATCTTGACAGTGTGGTAACAGACGGCTCCCTTGAGGGTTTAGTTAGTGTGTGTGTGTGTGTGTGTGTGTGTGTGTGTGAGAGAGAGAGAGAGAGAGACGCTGGCTAGTGATAGAAATGAGCAAGTGTGTTCACATTTCCTAGTATTACTTTCCTGCATCACAGTTAAAAACCCGAGGCTGTCGCTCCCCAGCCTTCATATCATCTCACTGCTGGGCTGGATCCAAACCCAGTTCCTAATTTCATGACCGTCTCTTTTCCTTAGGAATGTGAGGAATGACCTGTATAAGGCCTGGTCTTTTCCCACCCAGCTCTCATGTGCCCATTTTTAGGCATACCCAAGTCCAGCTCCTCTCGTTCATTTTTCTCTTTTTCACTTTGTCAGTCTGTCTCACTGTTTTCTCTCCCCTCTCACACTTTCTTATGTTCTTCCTTCCTGTCTTTTAGCACTTTCTCTTCATGCCCATTCTTTTCAGTCAGCTCAGCACTTCAAATTTCCACAAATTATAGTGTGTAGGAGAGCCCCTCTGAGATAGTGTAGCTCGGGCTACATAGTTTGTAAAACCTCAAAACCACTGGCTCATTTCATCTCTTGTGAACACCATAGAAGAAAATTTTGTGGACCTAGCAGGGGGGGGACACATCACCAACAGCAGGGAGCCTCACAGTGTGCGTCTGAGTGTAAAGCTTATAAGAAAAGCCTGCCAGACGAGCTGCCCCATTCTGCATGTGTTAACAGGTTCCTGCTGGCAACCAAAAGAGAAATCTGTCTCCCATTTGACAGGAGAGGGCTCCCTCTACCCTCCGGTGCTCATAGCTGTTGCTAAAATGAAAGCACCAAGCTCGTTGAAGTGTGTCTTTACACAGGCATGCCATATACACACACTCACACATCTTAATTACTCCTCTTTTGCTTGAAAAAATAAACCCTTTAACTAATAGTCACTCAGAGAAATGAAATATGGGTATTTTAAGTAAGGCACTTCAACATCTGAGTCTTTGGGGCCTCCTGCGGCCTGGCTCCTGTTCAGTCAGGGTGATGTGCAGTCAGAGATGGACACCTGTGTGATAAGTCGACACAATTCTTTCTTATAGGCGAGCACCAGCTGTTCGCCTGCTTGTTTCTTGTCCTCCACTCCTTGTTCAGATGGTCCCGTCTGTTCACATTAGTGAAGTCAGATCACTTGTCATCACCAATCTATAAGCCATCCGTCGGCCCTGCTGACCTTGTAACTCCCTACCACATATTTAAAAGTAAGTCATGGCTGTTCAGTCCAGTACTCTGAGTATAACACACATCTGAATGCTGTTTGCATTTATCACCTGTCAGTTGTGAACTTTTTAGGACTCTGTCAGTCTGTCTGACAGCAGTCTGTGTTTGATAGGTCGGATTGGCTGAAAGCCTGCCCCTTCTTGTAAAAGATTGCTTTGGTGTACTTGTTTGGCTGAGTTATTCCCAGAGTGCAAGAAATGACTGAAAAAGGTCTGTGCTATGACTTGTGTTTTAATCCAAGAGCCCTTCAGTTCTGCTTATTAACATCCCTGTATCTATACAGAGCTCAGGCCTTTAGCACCAAATTCTTACCAGCCATTTCCTCACTCACCTTCATGCCCTGTTTGTTTTGTATTGTTGCATGCAGCTTGATGGAACCGTGGATCTGGACGAGAGACGCCTCATCCGTTCAGCTCTCCGGGAGTTGAGGAGGAGGGAGATCGAGGACATGGAGGCCGCTCTGGTCAGCAAGAGATTCCGACCTACACGTCTCAAACAGCAAGAGGACAAGGAGAACCAGCACAGGTGAGACCATGACCAGGCGAACTAGAGATGCTGACAGAACACTCACAAACCCAGTGGGAAAAATCAGGTAAAGGAATCACAGGGGCCAGCACCTGAAACCACATTAAAGTTCCATTTTCCATCTTGAGTGCACATTTCACAATCAATTTTGTCATAAAAGGTTTTTGGCAATTCACTCATGAGTCATATTGAAAGTAGGTTTTCTTTAATCGTTGACTCGTTTTTATTTGCCGTTCTGAGCCTTTGCAGTGTTTGTTTTTAGTTCAGTCATACACACTTTCCAGCACCTATCATTCAGCTAAGGAATGTGGATAAACCATAGACTGTCATAAAAATGGAATGTGACAGCTCCCGGAAGTGAAGCCACCACAAGTTGTTGGTTGCAGTGTAGGGCATAAACCCCACCCCCTCCATGTTAGTGACTGGAACGTATTCCAAATCAAATAATTCCCAAAGTTGATTTCTGTCATTTTAGGTAGATATTATCACATTGATTTGTGTACAAGTGTTCATTTTTCTGATAAGGTTGATGAGATAAAAAAGGGGGAGTGTAGTGAGCGATTTGACAGCTTTGATTGGTAGCCTGATAGCGCGGCTCCAACTCTGGTCGCTACTGTGCACAACTTGGTTACAGAACACACATTTTCCCTTATGAGATTAGAAACACAGCTGCTGTCAACCAGTCAGCATCTTGGCAAATCTCATTAAACAAATACCCGTTTCTACAAAGTTAAATTCATTTGCAAAACATTTGCTCTCTTCAACTAAAGTACTGTATATTTGACAACCAAATGATAAAAAGTAATGGTATGTGGAATTTAAAGTCTTTTTTTTGTCTCTGAGTGCTGCAGAATAAGATGGCCTGAGTCTGTTTACAGTATATGTATGTTTAATTTGAGTCTGGCACTAATTGAAGACCAATCCCAGCATCGGGAGTACAATAAAGATTTGATGCTATAGGCAAGGTATTGTAAGTTTATTTACATAGCACATTTTCATATACAACAGCAATTAAAAGGCGCTTAACACAATACACACACATGGATAAAACTGTAAAATGCTTACAAATGCACACAAAGATAAAACATTACAATGCAAATGACATAAAACATTAAATATTACATGACAGTGCAAGTAGCAACATGCTTGAGTAGATACCTGCTACTTTTTGTATAGCTGTGGCAAACTGGAGTCTCACTGTTCTCAATATACTTGTACCCCTTTACTTCAGTCTTCCCAAGTTTATGTTCTGAGTACTAACATCATCTGGATGCAAAGAAGATGGCCAACCTTCTGTTGTTGTTGTTGTTCTCTTTATTCGTCTCTGATCCTATTAAGACCAGTGGATGGGCCTAATCATTTCCATTCCCTGCTGTTCTCAGATGACTTGGTTTACAATAGCAACGGATGTGCCTCACTGCAGCTGAAAGAGTAAGCATATCTACGGTAGCAAATGCATGCACGTGCGTACATTTTAAACCGTACGCGGACACACTTAGACAAACTCACAAAACTCATTTGAAAGTTTCATTATCCTGTGGAATATGAAATGTGCCACTGCAACATAATGTGTTACACATCCTTCATGAGTGGAGGAAAGCAGGGATGATGTGGGAACTGGAGGAGCATATGAGTAATAGAAACCAACATGAAAGAAGCCAGTCAAATGGAGAAGTATGAGGCTGAAGGATGAGAGCAGACATTTTCAGACACTTGTGTCTGCGGTGTCAGATTTGTTTTGCCACAGTTTCACATTTTCCACGCTCAATTTGAGAGTTTTTTTTTTCCCCTGATGGGTTTTTCCCCAGTCAAGAAAACTGTGCTTTATTTTGGAATAGTCTCTTGCTGCCTTTCACATGCGTAGAGAAGCCTCAGGTGAAATCTAATGGTATGACAACCATCAGTTTTTATACCATGGTGTACCGTGAGATGTACCGCTGCATCCCTGTGACTGTCTCTCTCCCTCAGGTCCGACTCGAGAGACAGCTTGGACATTCTGTCACGAAAACTGCGATCAATCCGGGACATTGATGAGCTCACAAAAATGGTGAATATTAACAGAGAAAACTCACGACTTTGCATACCTGTCCTGTGTGCACTAAGATTTTGTTTGTGTTGGCTTGAAGCTTCGTGCTGCCAGCGAGTACGAGGAGAGGAAGTTGATCAGGGCAGCTATCCGCCAAGTCCGAGATGAACAACAGCAAGGTGAGTCCAGGTGTTTGATGTAACTGAGCCAAGCTGCGTCTGTATGTAAGTTGAATAGGATACCACTTGTATGGCTGTGTATGCATAAGTCCCGTGGTAGAGATAGCAGGCTTTCTGTGGGCACCGCGATTTCAGTGGAAGATTCACCTATGATGCTGGATCAGATGGTGAGTTCCTGTCATTCCTTAATGCTGTGTGGTCTGCGTGATGCCCCTGTCACTCTGAAACAACGTGATGCATGTGCAGGGTCGTGCATACAGACTGACAACATATTTTATCACACTCCACCCTGCCCAGCCTCTTAAAAGGTCATGTCAGGGCACCTCAGATGATTTAAGCATTTCATAACTGATCATGATGATGATGTCAGAGGTTTGGCATCTGATGGGACAGTAAGTTAAAAGAGAGGTGTTTGTCACCTCCTTTTATTCTAGTTTTTGTCAAAGCACTAATGCTGTGCGTGTGTTTATAGGAAATGTGGAGCGGAGTAAAGAGTCTGGTCGCTGCCTGGAGCCTGAGAGTGTGGAGCCTCACAACAGCATGGGGACAGGGGTGAGTACAGCAATGTTAATAGAGCAATCGTTGTCATCAATGGGAGGAGAAATAGTGAAATGTCATGGACTGTGAAGCTGACATAGTCTGCACATCACCATTACAATATTGAGCACACACCAGTTTGCAGGTGCTAGTATTTTGCATGGCAGCAGTGGCCACAGGTTTTTCTGCTGCCACAGTGAGGAACGGACAGGGTAACAACACTGTCACCAATGTGGCTACATCACACAAAAAAACAACTCACACACACACACACACACACACACACACACACACACACACACACACAGACAAAACACATGGCTTGGCTGCCATGGAATGTAGAAGGAGTGTATTTATTTTATTTTTATGTACATCCTCATTCAGGTTTGGTGAAATATGAGGAGAAAGATAAAATTTACTTTGAGACTGGTGGTTAGTGAAGGCAGGGACAACCTTCCAGACATTTCACACACACCTATTTATAGGCTTTCACACAGCTGCACACTAAAATTGTTCAGAATGAGTGTGTATTAGACAGACAAGAGCCTCAAAGTTTTCAAAGACTGAGTCAATATTTGAATGATGTTATTGTGTTTTGGTGTTCTTTTGCAATATCCCATCTCCCAGAGCCCCCTTTCAGTCACTCTAAAACTTTGATCTTTTTTCAGCATAACAGATTGAATTACAAGATAGTTTCAGCAAACATGATGTGATGACATGAGACATAACGGTTTGCGAGAAACTTTCCGGAGCCAGTTCTTATCTTAGCTGCTGCGCTTCATCACAGGTTTTTTGTGAATGCTCCGTTTCCAGAGGATGATATAGAGGAAAAATAAAGTCAGTTTTTACAGTCACCAACACTTCTACTGCATCTGTAAAGGAAAATACACTTAGTCACCTTATCAGAGTTCTAATGGTTCATGTGAAAGCACGCTTTTTTCTCACCATAGTGATAGAAATGGGACATAATGGAAGGCTGTTATCAGTATCATTGTCTGTTGCAGCTTGTGCTTTGCTTGTGTGCATTCCTGTGTGTGTGTGTGTGTGTGTGTGTCTGTGTGTGTGTTCTCCACAGATAGGAAGCGATGATAGCATGCTGGCGTCACAGGATGCCTTAGCATTCAAGTCTTTTTACCTCACCTCCTGTAAGACAGCTGTGTGGTACGATGGTGGGTTTGTGAGCCACAGGTGGCGTAATAGATGAGGGGGGTCAGAGGTCTGGATGGTCAGGAGGTAGGGTTTGGACAGACAGGCCACCAGCTGTGCCCCAGCAGTCTAGTCTGCGCTGGAATGGGAATGCGGCCAAAAACATCACCCAGCAGCTGCAGGGCTCCCTCCACTCACATCACAGCAGCGGATCTCTTTGCTGCATGCGATTGTCCTGTGGCAGATGGAGGTCCTAGATAGGCCTCCACAGCAGCCAAAGATATACACGCTGTACACACACATGCAATATGTGTGTGTGCTGGCAGCAGCTTGAAACAAACACCAGCAGAAGGACACGAGTGACGTAAACTTAATAAATAAAAAGTTATATAGTGAATGCAGGTTTAATTGGTGGATTGATGTACAGTAGCTGTTCATCTGTTATTTTATTAGAATCCAACACCCGTTAGAGGTTAAGGACTGTTTTTATGGCCTTGGTTGATGTGTCAGCCCTGTGAGAGACTGGCAACCTGTCCTGGGTGGACCCTGCCTCTCGCCCAGTGTCGGCTGGGATAGGCTCCAGAACCCCCCCTCAGGAATAAGCGGTATAGATAATGGATGGCTGGATGGATGACATGAAGGGAAAGTGGAGGTAAATGAGCAAAAGTTTCCTTTTGCTCATTTGGGAGAAATGGTAATATAACACCTTTTAAAAGTACTTTAATTATTAATGTAAAAAAAATGGCAGAAATAAAAAAAGGATCTTTATTATTTTAAATATAATAGGGCAGTATATATTTAATGAGGTTTTCTTACAGTAACATACTGTATCTCAGTTTGTCTCGGGTAAAACAACAGTTAAACAGGTCAAAAGAAAGGCAGAGTGTGTCAGAAGTTAATGTGTCAACCAGGCAACCCTTTAGCCTGCAAGGAAAGTGTGTGTGTGGTGGGGGTCAGATCCCTGTGGAGACAGAATGGGAGGGAGGGGAAGTCAAGGGAGTGGCTTGTTGATGTTTTGTGTGTGTGCGTGTGCGGTGTTGGTGGTAGTGTACATGTTTTGTGTGTGTGTGTGTATGATGTGGCTGAGGGAGTAGCGTAGCATAATAGCGGACGTCCTGACTTCAAGAGGGTTTCTGCTTGGAGAGAGAGGGAGAGGAAGAAAGGCAGTCGGTCCAGTGAGCAGAAGGTAAATGTCAGTTTAGGCATCTTTCCACTTCTGCGTTTGAGTCTGATTAAATAATGGGACAGCTCTGCCTCTTCGTTTACCTTTCAGGTTAGTGTACATAATGGTTTATTGCTGAGTTAGTTGACTTTTTGTTGATTTTAGTTGACCTGTAAAATTTTAGGGTGTAGATTACATTTTAATGAAAGTGTGAAACTGGACAAACATGTAAAATAATGCCATGAATGTTTAATGCTTGTACTTTAAATGTATTAAGCAAGTTAACCCTGTAAGCTGTTTCTCTGAGGCTACAGGTCTGCATGCCATCTAGGTGTGTTGGGAGAGCCCAGGCAGGCTGATGGGTGGCGGGTATTGCAGCTCCAGACAGTGTTTTCCTTGCTCTCTGATCTCATCATAAACATGTTGCAAGAACAGATCTGAGGAAAGAGCAGATTAACTGTCTTTAAGCAGACTTAGCCTTTGCAACGGAGAAGTTTTCTCAGACTTGGGAGATGATGTGCTGGTGTAAAAAAGGGACTGTGGATCAATTTAGAAATAAGATCAGTTGGTAAGCTTAAGTGAGCTTCTGATGATGTGAAGTAAGTAAAAATGGGAATGAGGCTGAGGGTTGAGTTTTTTGTGGGTTTCCTCACTCCAGACTCGGTGTGTGATACTGAGATGATTGCTACTGTATTTCACTTATTGGAGGAAAGCCGAGCTTGTGGTTCCTCAGGCTGCAGTAATGGAAAATGAGCCGCCAGGTTTCTTCTTCTCTCTTCCACATAGAGGCATGGAATACCCTCAATTGGTGTGATGTCACCAGTGGAATGATGGAAAACCGGAGCATTGAAACCCAGTGTGTTAATCTATAGTTGATCTCAGCTGTCAGAAGTGACTGGTGAAGTAGGTGTGTGCCTCGCCTGTTGTTTTTGTGTGAAGCTGAGGTTCAGAGGCCCACGCCTTGCTGTGGTCACGAGAGGGGGACAGTTGTTTTTGTGTAGACGAGTTTGAGATCTTGCAATTATAGAGCAACACAAACAGGTTCCTAAGGCCAAAGGGGATGAGTGGTTCAGGCGAGCGCTGGAGTGGGACGGTGTCTGCGTTGGTTCTACTCTGTCAGGTCCCGACTGCCGGTGTCACAGGAAAGCCGCTAATGACAGCATGGAGGCTGGCAGCAGGTCCCGAGCTCTGGTTTGTGTCTCCAGTTTCACTTTATCTCTGCTTTTTTCCCCTCTCTGTGAGAAGTATGCTCCCTGTGGTTGAGTGGGAGCTGTGAAACGATGGCTGTCTGACTGCTGGTAGAAGCGGGAGAGCCAGAGGAGGGGCGGGCGAGGAAAGACTCTAATTGTGTTTGTGGCTCAAACACAATTATCCTCCCCTGTGACTTTTGAGTGACTCTACTCAAAAGGAGGGAGCCCTTTTAGTGTGACCTCTCACATTATTACACTGTAGTGTCTTTAGCCTTTTGTGTCTTTGCAGAAGACGGTCTCTTCATTAAATGTCTGGTGTCCCAGTGTAAAATGAGCAACAATTACTGTTGCCTTGAAAACCTGAACTTTTTACATTCCAGAGTCTGCGCTGCCACTTCGCTTTTTGCTCCATATGGAAAAAAGTGGAAGCTGGAAAAAGTGACATTAGAGCACCTAAGATGAAGATTTACATCTGCATGATGTCACATATAGTATTTCAGTTACTGGCTTCCTTTTTGCATTGACACAGATTGATCTCTCCCTGAAGATGATAGCAGCAAAACATAATAATAATAATTTTAAAGTTATTTTTAAGTCAATTATTCTTTTTTTTTGTATGACCCAAGCATTCCAGATGAACCTTTCCCATCTCCTCCACCAGTGTCTGATTACATTTTCTCCAAGTGATTAAGACACTGCCCCATAATCTTCTCAAGGTGGCAAAGGTCGTAGTCAGTGAAGCAGAAACCCTCGAATCCTTTCCCCTGTCTGTCTCACTTGTGTTTTAAATTTGAGCAGTGTTTGGCCATCGCATTAAGTCGTGGTTTCTTTCTATCAGCTCGGATCATGATTAAAAGCCTTTTAAAACACAGATGTGTGATTTCTAAGACTTTCACGCTGCTGCCGACGGCCGTGCCAGTCTCTTGTCTAGAATAACATTGTTTACAAATGGCCAACTGATTGTGTGGTTGGGTGTGTGTGCTTTCTTTGCTTGCTTGAAAGATTGCGAGTGTGTTTTCAAAAAGCTTTTTGAAGTAATGGTAGGGTATAAGTCTGGTGTTACACTTTTAGTATGTAAGATCATGTCCTGTGTATTTTTTTAGGATCCACCCAATCTTCAGTTGGACTGTTGTTAACCCAGGTGCCTTAAAAAAAAAAAAAACACCTATAAAGAGTCGTACTACCTGAAGCTCCACACAGGAGCTTTTTGTCCTTTTAATAGGAAAGTTCTGCAAATCCTTGTAATGTTGTGGATTAAAAATATGTGGTGGGGGGGGGTGTTTTAAAGATTGTGTGCACATGTGCTCAGAGGAGCTTTATTTGTGCAGCTGATTCTCCCGTGGAGTAGCTCAAGGTCAGGAACCAGAGGCTCAACAGTAGTGCCGACATCTACATCTTTCCCCCTCTGCCCTCCCCTCCACGCCTCACCCGTTTCCTCTCCATATGCCAAAATACTCCTGCTTCTCCTCTGAGATCTCCCTCTTGCCACAGCTTTTCTCAGTCAGTGTAGGATAGGACCAGAGTGCTGCAGAAGAGATGCATTTTGTGCTGAGGATAAACTGCTTGTAATCAAGTCAGACTATAAAGCAAAGATATAACAATATTGAATGACGTGATGAATCTATATATTGTCTCTTTTGGTACTTGGGGCCTCTTTCTCTCTCTCTCTCTCTTTCTTCCTCTCAGACATATACAGTGGAAAATAAAACAGATCTTTACTTTTCCAGCTGGCTGTACCTGTTTCTCATCATGACTGGAGCATTTAATCTCCATTAAAAGACAGATCACCAGCTGACCTCAAACAGGTTGTAGAGCTGATGTTATCACTCTGGTTGTGATCAGAGAAACGGACTGACACTTCAGCAGTGGCAGGCTGCTGTCCTAAGAAATAGCTGAAGATGTTGTGACTCGACAAATTAAATAGCACGGTGTCTTTGGGGTGAAATTGAATGTGCATTTGTGATTCTTGCTTTTTGCTCCACAGGAGACAGCGCGGGAGAGTCTCAGTGAGAAAGACCACACCCGAGCTCAGGTCCGAGAGTTGCGTGGTCAGCAGACACAACATAGCAGAGAGCTGGAGAAAACAGGTGAGAAACACTCATTCAGCACCAAAACGCACATGACTGCACTTCAGAGTAATGGACAGTTGTTTCATATTGTTAATTCATATTGACTGCAGGATGCATAATCACCTTCACATTTAGTTTATGTTTGGAGATGCTTCTGTTTTGAAACTGTTGAAATAAAAATATTGTAAACATTCACCTGAAGTTGAAGTTTGGGTAGGAAGTAATAACTGGCAGCCAACAGTGAACACATCTACTTTGTGTACATGTGACTACACATGTGAAATTTTCCCTTCTGTGCCTGGTTAGTCAACCAAAGGAGCCATTCTCCTGAGGTGGCGGGATTAACTGTTCAGAGTCACTCACAGCCATAGGCCTAATGACTGCTTAAGTGTGAAGTAATTTCATTAACCATGCTGTTAGCCCAGCCGTTAATAAAGTAGTATCAATGTAATCCTTCAGGAGGGAATGAATGTGCTTTGTTCACTTGAAACTTTGCAGGCACACTTGCAGTGTAGATGGTGAATAGCTTGGACATTGACAAAAGTTGTTGATGAGTCATAAGTGATGCTACAAATCTGTAGTTTATGAAATTTAAACACCTTAGGACAATGTATTGGACAATTCCCTTTATATTGGACACCAAATTTTAACTTTGATCATACTTGCTTGAAGATGAAAGTGTTTCTCTTCTGTTATTTAAACTCGGGCCTGGCTGATCTGAATTTGGCCTAAGGCACCGGTCATAATAATGTCGGTCTGTGTGGCCTGGTTTGCCATATCCGTCTCTTGGACCTGGGGTTAGCGGTAGGATTATGAGAAGCAACAGAGGGAAACCCAACAGCCACACCTCTGCTAAATAAAGCTGATACCAGAACAGAATCTTAGCTCGCTTGACGTGGCGGCAGAACTTCCCACTGTTCCTCATTTATCCCTGCCTTACAATTTAAACCAGGGTAAAGCAAGAGTGAACAAAAAAAGACCACCATAGAAAATCAAAGCAGGAAAGACTTCTTTTAAAGTGGACATCAATCAACAAAGGATGTTTGTGGTTGGGACAGGACAGTGTACCCAGAGTGGACCTGTGGTTCCTGGCTTTTAAGAAGAGTGAAAGTGGCAGAAAATAAGAGATTATGTTGGATGATCGTTGGCTGGTTCATTTTGGTTTTTGAAAATAGCACAAACACATACCTCTACCTTTCAGACAAAAAAAGCTCATATTTATATATGTTGCCTCAATGACCATGTGTCCAGCTGTATTTGCATTCTAGTGCAAACTGTAACCGGTAAGGCTGTGATTTAGGAAATGAAATGTTTGCAGAGACTCTCAGTGGAATGTGATGTGTTGCCCCAAGTTCCCAAAAGAGAAAAAGTTGCTCAAGTTGTAGGATAAAACTAGTTCTAATTTCACACCCCCAAAAACTGTGATTGACATGGTGGACTGAACACAGGAGCATTTGGTGTATTATCATTGTATATATAAATTCTAAAAAAAAAATCGCAGTTACCTCTGGCCCCTGCTGATCCCTTGACCTTTCCTTTAGTGCCACCATGGTTTTCAGATTTGTGGATTTAAGTAAAATATCACAACAACGGTTGGAAGGATTGCTGTGGAATTTTGTATTGACATTCTTGTTCCCCGCAGGATCAATTACAATACCTTTGGTGCTCCCTTGACTATCTAGCACCATCATCAACTGAAATACTTTAATTTATGACCAAAGCCCATTCCCATCATCCCACCAGTGTGTTTAATGCTGATTAAACTGACTTAAACGTGTTTTCTGTGCATTGAAGCACACTTAAAGCGCTTTCCCACTATTAATCCGTTCACCGATATAAACACTCACACCAGTGGGACAGCCATTTTGACATGTGGACTGGAGAAGCTGGGAATTGAACCAGCAACCCTCCGGTTGGGAGACCCACTCAACCTCCTCAGCCACAGCTTCCCCAGTTACTTTGTTTACTTGCCCTTTGCTATTGCCTTACATAAGGATCTATACATGCACATTGAGAGCCGCTGTACCAGTCAAATTCCTCATGTGTCCAACAAACCTGGCCAGTAAAGCTGATTTTGATTCTGAATTAGCAAATGTTTTCACTCTAGCATGTTCAGATGTTAAAACATTATATCTGCCTAGCAGCTGTATGTTAGCATGCTGACATTAGCTTGTAGCTCAGAGCTTGAGCTAAGTCTGCTCAAGTACAGCTTACCAGACGGAGGCTAGCTTAGTTCTAGTCTTTACAGTATAGTATTTATATTTTCACGGTAACATTATGAATGCTAACTTAACAACTTGTATGAGAAGACTTTGTGGATAAGAAAGCTAGGAGTCATATCTGCTTTATGAAAACTCATAGTTACTTGCTAACATTAAATTTACTATAGAAACCAGGGTCATTGCTTCAGTGTGAAAGAAATGGAAAGTTTTTTTTTTTTGCCTTTGTTTGTTTGTACACTATATATTACTTGGCAGCAGAGTACTGCACAAATGTAGCTTTTGTAGTTATTTTGAGCAACAAGCAAGCCTCTCATTATCCAGTAGTAGTGGGGATTTTCCCAGAAATTGCTACGCAATGGACATGGCGGCTTTTGAATGTCAAAAACATGAACAATACTGGGAGAGTTTTAGAAGCAGCAGTGTGTTTTGGCTCTCCCATCAGTTGACCAGTAGCTGAGTTTGAGTTGAGTGCATCACTAGATATAGACACAATTGTCTAGTGGACTATTATTAATACTCACACATGTGAGCTATTTATGTTTCTACTTGTGTATCGTAATCATGTTTTCCATTCAGATGTTACATATTCATCTGGTCTGTTTCACCAACAGCATGCAGATATTAATAAACCGATTGTGCACAGTTTTAGCAGGCATCTTTTTTTGGGCAAGTGTTAAAACAATAGTGGCCTTAAAAAAATAACAGCAGTTATTTTAAAGGAAGCTGTGAATGTCCATTCTAGATCCTGTCTAGTTAAAAGAGATTTCTGTGACTGCTGGTCAGACTGGACTCCCTCTTTGTGATTTGGTTTGTAAATGGCAGTCATGCATGCTTGGTCTACCTTATTTGGTTGCGGATTTGGTCCAAACACAGGTCATGCAGAAGTGTTTTCATGCCTTGGTGTGTACATGTATTGTGGGAATCTGATGCACTGTTGGTTTTCTCAGCTTTCAATATCTGTGGTACGTTCACAACCTCAGATATTCTATCACTAGAATATCTGAGCATGGGGTGTAGAGGTGGAGACTGTCATGGGGGAGGATGTGGGTACTGCTGTGTTGTTTAGAGTGTGATTTCCTGAGGACATGAGGAACATTGACTGAGTGGACTGGAAGTATTTGTCCTAGTCTCTATTTCACCCCCACTTCCTCCTTCACTCCTTGTACTTATTCAAATCCTGTGCCTGTGCCACATGCTCCCATTCTCTGCTTGTAACCTTCCCCCCGCACATCCACCACTACAATCTCACAAATCTTCCTCAGAAACTGAGGCCAGTCTGGAGGAAATGCCTACATCCCCTCATGTCTCCACGTGCCTCTTCTATGATCCTGACTGATATTTTCTGGCCTAGTCTCATGGGTCTCGTGAAAGTATTTCATTTCTATCATTTCAGTCTCTAACTTCACCGCCTACTGCTTCCTTTTGCTCACATACAGTAACACCCTCTTCACTTCACAAAGTACAGAATGGCATTTATTGCTCCTCTGTCATTTGTATTTTTTGTTGCAGGCTCCAACTCAGACATGGTGTTGGTTCTTGACCACCTGGTGAAGGACGATGACTCTGGACCTCTGCTGATCCAGCCTCAGAGGGAAGCTGTGACCACAGAGCCTGACGTGGTCCTGTCTCACCGTCAAAGGTCGGACTCCTCAGCCTCAGACCATAGTGTGACCTCTCTGCTTTCCAGGTCCAATCTGGATTCAGTGGCCCCAGAGAAGAATATGGGCTCAGCCTACAGAGTCCGCCTGGACTCTGGAGCCTCAGACAAGAGCCAGAGTTCCTCCGAGCGTGGCCGGCTAGACTCGGGGGCATCAGAGCAAAGCATCAGCTCCCAGTCCCACGTCAGACAGAGACTGGGCTCAGATACCTCCAACTCTGGCATCAGACCTCGCTCAAGCTCTGGGGCTTCAGACAGCATTGATCTGTTGTCAAGGAAACGGACTGACTCAGGGACATTTGAGCAGAGCGTGAGTATATCTTCTGAGGAGAGGGATCCAGTGGAGGAGGTAGAAGTTACCACAAGTGGTTCAACTTGCAGCACAGATTCAGACACTGAGAGCAGAAGCCAAGGTCCAGCCAGTCTCCTGGCTCAGTCCAGTCAGGACCAAGTTATCGATCAGGAGCAGGCTGATGGAGCTCTTTTATCTCGCAATGATCCTGTATATGGCCTGCTCAACGGCACTGCTGAGGGAAAAATGGACTTCCAGAAAAAAAAGGTAGAGTATATAGCTCTTGTATCAGCTGAATGCTTGTTGCCTTTGAGTCAGGAATATACTGCATCTCAAAACAGTTTGAGGCAACTTAATAGCAACAATGATGCACAATATTTATTACTACTGTATTATTTATTACTACACCACTAGAGTGGGGTGTTGAGCTGTATAGCCATGGTTCCATGCAGCAACAGTCCAAGTATTCTCCTCTCTTTTGTCATCCCTAACAAGACAACCTGACACTCCATTCTTCAAAGACAGCCATATCATATCGGCATCCATAAACACACCATGCCGAGCTCGTGTTAGGAGCTGTTTAACTTTTGTTACTTGGTTACACAAACAAACTGTGCACCTGAGTGTGTCTGCTTCACCTCAGCAGTGTGTCAGGCTCACCTGCTGTCAGAGAGGAATAGCCAGTGTTAGGGGCCAGAGTGTCTGTCTCTCTTCATCCCACTGTGCAGAGAACACACAAGCACACAGAGCTGCTGTTTCTGCACTGACTGTTCAGTCCTCAGGTCACCGTGACGCCATCATGTCACTTCTCTAAATGTGTTTACTCAAGACTGGCCCCAGGCTTCTTTTATTGTTCCCTGTAATAATACGCTGATGCTCAGTCTCCTGAGAGTCATGTAAACACTCAGGGGCCCACCTTGGCCCCTGCTGCCAAAAAAAGAACAGTGGCCCACAGTGTTACATAATGAAAACGTTAGCGGTTAAGTCTGCTTTTAGGACTTTGTAGGAGTGTGTGTAGTTGTCACCACCACCATCCATACGGCCTCTGGCCCTTCATGAATGTGCATTACTGTCCTGTGATTGTCAGTCCAAGCATAAAGCCTGTTTGCCCTCAATCCCCTTGACTTCCTCTACTGATTGTCCTGTCATGTTTCTCTGTCTTTATCTCTTTATAGATAACGGTTAACAATGGTTTTCCCCTCACTCATGACAAAGGAAAGGAGTCTGGTAAGAAAGTAGTCCAACTCTGTTAGTTGTGAACTGATTAACCAAGAGAAAATCAAACATTTAGAGCATTTCCAGCTTCTCAAAAGTAAGGATTTACTGCATCTCTCTTTTAAACCATTAATTGAATATGTTTGTGTTTAGTGCTGCAAATTTGAATATACTGGAAAATTAGGATGGGCATTTTTCACAGTTTGTTAGTATTTTAAAGATAAAATGATTCAACTAAACCCATTTAATGGGAGCAAATACAAATAACATGCAACTCTAAACTCTGTACTCACAGATTTATTAGGTTTAGTTTAAGGACTGTACATTCCATTTGTCCTTTTCATCAGGGGAACTTAAGTGTTTGATAATATCTCACCAGATGGTTTATTCCAGGATATGGAGACATTCACAGCCATTAGAGTGATTGTGTAGGGCCACTCACAAGAGAGAGGGCTGAGAAGAGATGTTGTAATATACACCATCTTCTCTCTTTCTACCAGACAGTCATCTTTGTTTTGTCCACTGTACTATAAACTGTGGTTTTCCTTCTGAGTAGCTTCTTTTGTTAAGATGACTTCAGTGAAGGAAAAGGGAATGGGATTTGTAGAGTGCTTTTGAGGTCGAAGAGGACATGAAATAGTGTGCTAAATTCAGCCTCAACAGGAGAAGGATCTAAGACCTGCTTCTCTGTATTGTTCCTTTTTTTCTGTTCTTTCAGCTGTCTTTCTTCATTATGTTTTTACAGCACCTGAGAAGAAAGATGTTGTACTGGAACAATTCATCCGTACCAACTCTGTACGCGATCGAATGCGCAAGTTCACAGAGCCCACCCAGAGCCCAAATGTCCCAGCTTTGAAGAAAGTTCATCTGAAGAGTGGGACATCCTCCTGCAGCAGCGGCCAGATGAATCTCTCCAGAGCTACTGAGCTGTTTACACACACAGCAGCATCCCCCAGCACATCTGGAGATGGGCCAGCAAGGCCACGTGTGGACTCCACATCTGACGCCTCCACATCTCACAGTCAGGCCACACATCAGCCAAGAGGGGTGGCTAACAAACCCCTGTCTTCAGCTAGCCAATCGCACAACTGCATGGGTGGGACAAGGCATCCAGCTGAAAAAGATGTGCACGGCTCCAGTAACTCAAAGGAAGAGAGCATCCCGGGGAGAACAGCTGGACAGCAGGTCACCCAGGGAGAGGCAGATCCAGACATGAAGACTTTCCTCACCATTGAGATCAAGGATGGGCGCACCACCGCCTCCTCTACATCCTCCTCTAGGGGCAACATCATCCCCATCACCAGCATGACCCCACGCATCACCACTAATGCTCTGGGGCAGAGGGCAGGTAGGAGCATCTAACGACAGTGGTTAAAAAATAGTTTAGCATTGTCCAGTATTTTGTTGTGTTTCAGCTGAGTCCATTTACTGTGTGTGCTTAAGTGAGATGTAATTACAGTGATCTTGTACAAGTTCTATGGTGGTGGTACAGGGTATGAATCTAGCCACTGGATCTGTTTCCTCACTAATATCAATCTGTAAATCATGATGGAATCTCAGTCTCCATGGGAGGCGAATGGCACCAAGGAATTGGTTGCAAGTGGGAGGATAAGAGTTTTTCTGAGGCCAAGCAAAGCTCATGGATGAGTGGGGATAGATGTCACGGCTGAGAACAAAACGGTATCGTTGTGCTGAAGGCTATTTGTTAGAGTGGGGGCACGTCTTTGCAGTGTGGAGGGGGCTGCGGTCAGGAGTCAGCAGCAGAGAGTATGTTGGGACAAAGGAAATAGTAGCTGACTGTCTCAGGCCAGGCTGAATAGTAATATTGTTACAGTATAACAGTGCAGCTGAAGAAATGACATCACTGTGACATCCACAGTTTGAATGTAGCAAGTTACATTTGCTGCAGGTTATTGCTGTTTTTTGTCTGTTTTCTGTCAAGTACACATGGAGAATAGCGACATTCATCTGTACGTGGTCGAATACTTGCTCTGACATTTTTTAAAAGCAATTTTTCAGCATTTTTTTTTTTCTTGTATTAGTCAGTAGTATAGAGTGGGTAAGAAATGAGGGAGGAGAGATGCAGCAAAGGTCTTTTCTGCTCATGAATCAGTGATGTTGCGATTATCATGGTCAGCCTCTTAACCTCAAAGCCACCAGATGCCCCCATGAAAATAATTCAGTAGGAAAAATGAATAGATCATTTTCCCTGTTAGCCAAGAAGCAAGAGCAAGAGATGATTGAAGACTGTAAAATATATAGAAATATAACCATATCAACTGTAATGAACTGCTATATTTGATTTTTGTTGAACTAGTGGATATGCATGTCATGTCATATCCAAAAACAAAAAGCACTTAAAAGGCAGGCTGAGCACTGGACCGGTCTCCCAAAAACATAATGTTCCTGTAATGTACATATTTGGAATAGTACATACACATACTGCAAATAGTACCGGCGGGGATTCATTAACTGTATGAAACAACAACATGAACAGCACAAATCTCAGTTGATTTTAGAAGCAAAGCTGATGTGATCTGTCTAGACATGTTTTAAGCTTCAGTTCCTCCCAGCAACCAGGACCTCCAACCTAAACAGTTTATTTAAGACTCACACTGCTGGACCTTGTTTTGGGGTCCTCCTTTGGGAACCTGCCTGGTTCTCACTGATGGAGAACAGACTGCAACTGCTGCATCTTTAGTTTCTGTAAAATGTACATTGCCCTGATCTGGTGTGCATCAGTCCTATTTTATGATATAATTATGTGAGAGGGAGCAACAGGTCAGAGAAGTGCATATATATTCTCTTAGAGGCAAATGAAGGGGGTTGTTTATGTTAAAGGTGGCATCATCTACGTTTTCTTACGTATCTCTTATGAGACATGAGTCCATGTTGTTTGACACTATGGCAGCTTATGTAACTGACTAATAGCTACCACCAGCACAGTGCAACATGCATATATCTCAGATGTACACATGTATGCCAGGACCTTTCCTGGCCTTTAATGTTTGCTCATATTCATCCCATAGCTCTGGATTAAATCCACCAGAGTCTTGTAAGAAATATTTAGTTTCAAATCCAAGTAAAGCTTTTATGTGTCTGTTCCAGAGTTGACCCTTGGCCTAAGAGCAACACCATTCAAGATCTCCTCATCCAGCCTGTCCTCCGGATCCTCCATCAAGGTACAGTCTGCCCTATGAAATATTTTTGAAATGGTTCACAACATTGCCCCTGACCGTGTGACGATTAGCGATGAATACTTTATTTTCATCTTCTATTTCATTTCCAACTGATTCAGTTACTGTAAATTCCACTGTGTCCCTGTCGCAGCAGTCACCTATAGAGGCCGGAAAAGCAACTGAGCCGGGACAGTGAGCGACAGACAGTGTGAGAATAGGGAGGGAGAGGAGGGAAAAACGGTGTTTATCAAACATAGAGGGGGTAGTCAGTTACATCTGTCCTTGTAGGGTATGTGAAGTGAGAGAGGGAGCGGGAAGGAGGTGCTTCAGGCATTCGTTGTTTTCTCAGCAGGCCATGCCCACTGAGATTTATCTGGGAAATGTTTACTGAATCACACCTGTCTGTCTTCACCCACACCGGTTGCTGCCCAGCTACATTAAAACACATGTTAACCCAAGTCCTTCATCACTTCATCTTTTCTTTAGGGACCAGAACCCAAGTACACTCAGATTAGCTGAAAGTGTTCAGTTTTTTTGCTGATGGAGGAAAGTAACTGCAACCAGAAGTTGTTGCCCTCCCCATCTCACACTGACCTCAGAGGCAAGCGAGAACAGCTAAACTCCCATTTGCTTCATTCCTCAGCCTGCTCGCTCCTCCTTTAAAGGAAGAGTCCTCATGAATGGAGAGGAGGGGGGTGAGAGGGTGGGGAGAGGAGAAGTGGTGTCCTGTTTGCTCTTTAATGGCTCAGTATTCCACCCCTGTGCCAAGCACAACTGTAATCTGGATATGGGATCAGGGAGTTAGTTAATTAGGGTCGGAGGCAGGCTCCAAGTGGCTGCAGGGTGGATTTAAGTTGTTGGAATGACATTGTCTCTATCAGTTAAGTCTTTGTTGAGACGCAAGCGCAGGGCCAGGGACAGCAGAGATGTTCAGATAGGTAAGGGATTTTGCAGGTAAAGAACAGATTCTGCAGGAGATGAGGTTTATACTGACTGAACTGAGTGCTGTTATATCACTACAACGACGTGCAGGTAAAGTCTTTGTGAGAGTGCTAACATGTCTGATATTACTGAACATGTTTTAAACTATGGCTTTAAAAAAAAAATCCGCATCACAAAATCATCTTGTTTCATTTAAAATGATTTCTTTTACTGTTTGCAACAGCAAAGTACAGATTATGGTCTGCCTGATGTGTCATTAGTTGAACCCTGAACTGAGCCCTAACTCTGTTGTTATTCGTAACTGCTGGGGTTGAGGGTTAAGCTAAAGGGCTTAACACTGGCTGCAAAATGGAATACCACAGGACTGGCTGTGTAATTGCACAACTAGACTTGGTAGCATCCACATTGTTAACCGAACAGCTGCATTTGCATTGTATAGGCTTGGCACAGATGCCTTCCGTGATAAACCATGAGGCTGCACTACACTCATGCTGACATTTCACCTACTTCTGCCAGACTTGCCTAATTTTTACCATGCAAAGACTGGGCCCGTGTGGCTCAGCTAATGAGACTATAAAATAAAGCAGCAGACTGATTCTGAAACCACCTGTTCTTTGGCTTTTTCTGGTTTAGTTGAACTTCAAGGGTGTTTGAGAGGAGAAGACATGTCAGGGATGGATTTCACATTAGTCTGTTCAATACAGCAAGAAGAGTGTAAAATATGCAGGTTTAATTAAGTTTATCCTGTTTAGCGTCGTTGATGGTTGTTTATTGGCCACAGTGGTTCCTGTCTGAGGCTCTGATCTGTTCAGGTGGCCCGAGATTCAACCGACAGCAACGTTTTAAATGAAAGAAACAACTTGAACACAATGGCCAAATGTGAGTAAAGGAGAGAGAACTGCTAAGATAAAGTTACTGCAAAGGGCAAGATGTATGTAGTGTTTGAGTGCAGTGATGAGAGTTGATTTCAGTCAGGTGAGACCGGCAGCTCCAAGTGATCACAGCTGCCCTGGCCCATCTGAACACAAATATACTGTAAATAATGTCTTGGTTTTATAACCAGGGTGATGCCAGGACAGTCAGTCAGGGACACACAGGACCATAGTCAGTGAGAGACTGTCTCCTTGTCACACAGAGGGGTAAAGACCCCATTGCTGATTTCTAACACATGATCTGTTTCCCAGCCATTTCAGATGTGTAGCAGAGTTACAGTAAGCTTGGTCTGCAGCAGGCTGAGGTGCAAAATGGAAAGAATCTAATGTATGGATGAATTGATTTTAAAACCACAGTCTGTTTTATTACCAGCTCAAATTTGGATGTGTTCCTCATTGCTCTGTCAGTTCTTTTTTTAGACTAAAATCTCTGTGGTGCTTTGTTTTGTAGCTTCATTACAATATGCACTACATTTTTTGTAACAAAAACAGTGTCACACAAGTGAGAGAGTCGGAAGAGACGGACTTATAATTTCACATATTACACCAGTTTCTGTAGAAAATAGTGTGTATTTACTTTGTAGTCTTTTTATTTATGTGTCTTATCCTTCTACAATTGGGTAAAGTGCTTTAGACATAGAGCCACATCCTTCTTGGGTTTTAACCCACTTTGTCTGCTGCCAGTCACATTTCTCTCTGCTCTCTGGGAACTGTTTTGCTCACCTCTCAGTCCTAGGAGAGAGAGCTGTTACCCTTTGTCCTATTGTTCTCCACTGAATGCCAGTTCTGAATACTTTTATATTTTGATATTAGATCATTCATTTACTGTTTGTATAAATAAAAAGTTTTTCTCCATTGACTGTTGTACAGTATGCTAATAAATCGTCAATAGGCATTTAAAGGATTTGCTTGAACAACATGCACACAGACTTCTGTCAGTGCTCTTGCAGAGCTCTTAATCTAACACCAAAGCACTTAAAGCATCCACACGAGCAGCAGTTGGAGCCCTGCTGCTTTGTCAGTAAGCCTAAAATAAAGTCTTGGGACAGTTCTGATGTCCTTCCTAAGATCCTTGTCGTGAGCCCTAGCTCACCTTCGCTGCTCACCCAGTCTGCTCTGTCATGGCTGGACTGATCTTCCCTCTGAAGCTCTGTCTTGAATCACAGTCATGCAACTCAACTGGCCTGATAAGACCTGACTCTGTTGCATTTTGATGCAAAACAGTTTTAAGAAGAGTGAAGCACTAATGTGCAACTTTTTCAACTCAACCCAGGCTGAGAGCCACATCTTAAACCTTGTTGCCTGACAGTGAAGGTGTGAAGGTCAAGAACGCCAAGTCAAAGGAGGGAGGGGTGGGTTGGCTAAATTGCTGTCACTATAACCCCCACCCGCCACCAGTGCCCTTTGACAGACTGGCTCAGTGAAATAATGATAGGGCAGGAGATAAAAAGACATGACCCCAGCACATGGAAATAAGGGGGTGGGGCTACTCCTGTCTGGGGAAACGGGATTCCTTCCATGCTCATTGGCTGTCAGGGTGTTGGCTGATAAAGAGGGGTGATTTGCTGGCTTTATAAAGAGCATGCATTGTTTGGGAAGAGAGGACATCATCTGACCTCATCAAGCACATAAAAGCCACAAACTCTGTGATTCCTCTGATCTTGCATCCTAACATACGTTTTTGGGACACTTGAACCAAAAGGACTGGGTGGATCTGGTCTGGCCATGCCTGGAGTGAACCTGGAATTCCTCCCAGCCTCACAGGCTCCAGAGGCTTTGGGCAGCCCAGATAGTGCTTGTGTTGAGTCTGGCCTGGAGGAGGTGATCAGTGATCTGCTTGCTCAGGAGGAAGCTGAGGATGAAAAGGATCTGTTCTGCCAGAGACAATTAGAATTAACATTACGATGCACAGTGGAGGAGATCCATAATGACCTGCAGGCCTTTGGGAAGCAAGTGGATGCCCGTCTCAAGGAGGCCACAGTTCAGGTGGCTCCTCTGTCTGAGGTTCTTGTCAGTCTACAAGAAGAGAACCTGAGGCTGAGAATTCAGCAAGAAAGGCTGGTCAGGCAGGTGGAGGCCCTGTGCCAGGTAATGGGACTGCCTGACCCCTTACTGCATGTATTGGCTAGCAAGAAGCACTCGCCTTCAATCCCATGTGAAGCCAAAACCCCATCCAGACATTCTCCAACTTCCACCAGGGATTCTCCAACATCATCCAGTGACCCTCCAGCCTGCATGCCTGAGGACAAAGCACTTGAAGCACCACATGGTACTTTGCCCTGCTCTCTCCAAGATTCCCCATGCAGTGAATCCCAGGACACACCAGCTTGCTCTCTTCTGGGTACTCAGTCAAGCGTACCCCAGGAAACTTTATCATGCCCCCAGGACTCAGACTCTGGACCTACCAGGACAAGCACACTTCAGCATTCAGAGCCTTCACCTGTCCCTCACCCGCCCACCTTTGCTGCCCGCCGCTCTCTCTCTGCTCCCTCGCTGATGGCAAACATTTCTCGCAGCAGCAGTGAGGTACTGCTCTCTGCTAATGGCCATGACCTCTTTTTAGTTCAGATAAGCTGCTCACAGAACGGGAATGTCTTTTGTTTCGGTGTTGACAGTAACCGTGAATCAGCTGGCCATGATTTTTACATGTCATCACCGTGGTACTAGTTCTGCCAACATGCTTACTGACCTCCTGTTGCACCTGTCTTATCATTCCATTGGTTTTAACATTACTCTATGCCCTCCGTTTGTTTTTAAAAAAGCTTGACCATCTCAGCTGCCAATCAGGTTTGACAGATTGTGTTTATGTGGAGGACTTCACTGCAGTTTATCACAGAGGTATTCCAGTCCTGTAGCACCATGTGTTTGTGATTATGTCCTGGCTAGCACTCACATGTGAGCATGTGCATGCAAGTGTTTTGTTGATTGAATTCACTTTCTGGCGTAGGGAAAAAATGACAATGTTTTAACATTAACAGTGGCCCTGGCCTGTAGTTTGCTATCTTCAAATCATCTATTATGTTTACTTTGTCTGGAACATTAAGTTTTTCAAAAAAAGAACCATAAATGAAAAGGTTTTACTTGTCTGGCTTCAGAACAAGAAAGGTATGTAAGGTTTTATGTTTCCATTAAGAGAGAATGATGGACAGTTTCATGACAGACGGGATAGCAACTCGGCCCTCATCTTTAGGCTTTTTTTGCTCTGTGTCCTTTTGAAATCCCATAACAAACCCTCTGGGTGTACCTGTGTGCACTGGTGACATTTTGAGTTGCATTTGCATCATTAGCTTCAGTTATTCAACCAGCCAGAGTTGATTCCTATCTAATCCTGAAAAGGCAGCCGGGTCTGCCAATCAACTGCCCTAGTTAAGGTGATGTTACTCCCCTCCAGCAGTCAGGAACATGTTGTGATTAAGGGTGGCCTCCCTGTGTCTTTGTGCTATTTCTCCCTTGTTAGCCATTCATAATTCTGTTGATGGAGACTGTATTGCAAGTGGTGAATCAAAAGGACTACAGTCCTTGTCCCATTAGGGAAAAACCAAAAAAGAGCATTTGTATGCCATCATGACGCAGGTGCTGAAGCTGAATTAAACATGACTGGAGCACTAAGGTTATCTGGGATTTTCTCACCCCACACACATTCTCTCCTTGCCTGACTCAAAGCCCTTGTTTGGCTGTGTTGTGTCCCAAAGCATTCCTCACTGGTCAAGTGCCTCTCAGTCTAGTCTGTCCCATGGGTCAGAACTGTGTCCAAAAACCAAGGGCCACATGTGATCACGCAGCTCTGTGGCCGTGCTAGGCATTGTCCCTCCCTGTAGTGAGGCTTGGCCCAGCCAGGACCTGCAGACAGGAGGTGGATAGTGACTGGGCCAGCTGTCTGAGCTATATCTGGACCTGGACTTAAAGTCACAACAGAACCATTGAAGCCACAGCTAGAGCCCACAGTATAGTCTGACACAGGCATTCAGATGAAAATTTAAGAGGTGTTTTATGGTCACTCAGAATATGCTGGTCAACAGCCGAGCTAACTTTCACTGATGTTGTGTTTTGTTCTCATCGTGCTCTGCTTCTACACTGCCCAGTCCTTCTGTGGTGTACATACCAGAAAGAATGGTTTTAGGTGTTTACATCTCCCAGTGCATTGTTCCCATCATACATTCATGGTGGTGTACCGTGCCTGTCACATAAACTCTTGGTTTACAGCAGCTTAGTGTCATTGTGACACTCAATGTGTCAGCATATGCCATGAACTAAGTGAACAATAACTTGGCAGGGTTTGTCTTACACTTGTGCTTAGTATCACTCTCTCTGGCATGGCCGGGAGGTAGAGGGGATGGAAGGAAAATGAGATATGGTGAGTGGACAGTCATAAGATGAAGAGAGATTGAGTGAGGGAATGGTGTGAGCTCTGCAGTCTACTTCGCACTCTCTGGCCTTTATGGCTTTAGTAAATTTAACCGGAATCATCTTGTGCCTATTAGGCCCTAAATGTCAGGAAGCTTCACTTATGGTTTTTTTAAACCCTCATCCTAGTGTTAGATGTAATCTGTGCGATCTGAGATTAAGGAATTCCATAGTGTTTCCTTCTGCATGTATGTATGTATGTATGTATGCAAGTTCTTGCTCACAGTGTGTGTGTGTGTGTGTGTGTGTGTGTGTGTGTGTGTGTGTGTTCATGTCTCATACAGATGGAAACGGAGCCTGTTATGGCCTCTGAGCCGGTGTTTTCAGCCAGACCGTCTGTCCAGGTGGCGTGTCAAGTCCCAGCCATCCCCAATGGCTCCGGCACTCAAACCAAACTCGACATACACTCCGGAAAACTGACTTCTGAACAGCTGGCTGCTATTGAGGATGAGGAGCTCCTGGACAAAATGGTACTTCACACCCATGTTATAATTATGCATTACTTAAATTTAAAAGCACCATGTTGTACAACAGCTTCAGTCATGTAGGACATTTGTGTGTTGACACTAAATCTCAGCACTTCTTGTGTATATGCCCTTTATTATGTTAATGAATGGAGCCATGCAGTTTGAGCTTTTTATTAAGAATGAACTCTCGTTTTGGTTTTTTTCCTTTTCCCTTCTTCCACAGCTTGATGAGTCAAAAGACTTTGAGGAGAGGAAGTTGATCCGTGCTGCCATGAGAGACCTTCGCAAGAAAAGGAGAGGTAACAGCACAGTGAAAACCAGAATGCCTTGCTCTGTTCATGACTTTCTTTTTTTTTCTTGACACTTTGTTTCGAATCAACAAAGGTAGACACGCTGCTTTACTGACTTTTTATCATATTATATTGAGTAAACTTTTTAGCTTGACAAATTTTAACCAGAATTGCAATTTCCACATTATTTCTATCCATTCTGCCCGCAGAGGCCAAGCTGGGATGTACTCAAGAGGAAATAGGTAGGGCAGGATGGCGTGCAGTGTGCATTAACAGCTTACAGTGTATTTGCCTGCATTTGCTTTTCTGTGTGCACCATCCTGTCATTGTCAAACCACTACGGTTCTTAAACAGATTACCTCTCAGATCTTTGCTGTGGGTGATGTAAGTTGTTGAGAGTTTTGTGAATGTGCATGTTCTTTTTTTGTTTGTTTTTTTATGTAGAGTGTTTCACATTTACCCCGATGTGCTGCAACGTTGTTACTCAAACCTCTTGACCCTTTAGTGCATTCTCTGCTTTGCAGTGACCTCTCACCATATGGTGTTACCGGGTGTCTGTTACACTGAGCTGAGAATTAAACTTCCTAATTAGATTTCCAGAGATGAGTCTACTCTAGAAAAACCTGCAAACGTTTAGTGCACTAAGTGGCATCAAGCACACAAGTGGTCCAAAGCCACCTTAATACCCTGACTTCTTCACATGTAGCAAAATTCTCTGACAGAAGTAAATAGAGAGTTTACGAATGAACGTTTAAGATCAGTACAGGATGGTATGTTTAAATATGAGCTGCAGGTAGCGGTGCAGGTGTTAAGCTATCAGTCTTCTGGATGTTGCTGAACTTGGCTCAGCCTTCTGCACGGGGAGATTACAATTTGCTCTCTTGGATCTGCAGTGGTTGTGGGTGTCTGTGTGTTCCGAGGAATTTTACGGTGCTGTGGAAAGAATCCTGAAATGCACTGTATCACCCCAAATTTGGAAGCTCTGTTTTAATCCATCTCTGTGGCAGTCAAATGAGAGGCTGCCAATTTGTTTAGGACCTTCTGTCCTCCTCCTCTTTTTCCATTGACATCATCTCTCCACCTTCCCCACCACCTCTCTATCCCTTCTCGCCTCTTCTCCTCTCCACCCTAGACCAGAGAGAAAAGGAGCGCGAGACCCGCCTGCAGGAGCTCCGGCAGCAGAGAGAGCAACAGAAAGGCCGCGCTGGGCTCGGAGCGGGAGAGCTAATGATGAGAAAGGTGGAGAAGTCGGCGGATGGCTCCACCCTCAGTCAAATCACAAAGACAGACCGCTTCGCTCAGTCTGGTAGATTCTCTTATCTTTTCTTTTCCTGTGCAGTTCTTAACCATCTATAAACCCTCCTTGATCCTGTTTTTCAACAACTCAGATCCCCACAAATCCATTTTTATGTACAATCCCAAGACGCAAAAGGCATCTTGGGAGTATGAAGGAAAAAATAAGGTAGCAGAAGAATAAAAAGTAAACAGTAAAATCTGATGAAAAACAAAGTATAGGGCCACTGACCTGGTCTGACATCATGTAAGTAATTGACATTGTACTTGTGTGTGTTCAGATGATGGGAGCAGATCAACACGCAGTACTGTTGTCGAGGCCAGTTATGTGCAGAAAACAGACAGTGAGTCATTACTTTATTTTGCTCTTTGGCTTTACTGTATAGTCATTGGTTTTATAACCAGTATAACTGATATATCTATTTATTTGTTTATCATTGCAGGGGGGACAGTCCAGTCAAAATCATACAGTTTCTCCTCCTCTTCCTCTTCCTCTTCCATGAACACAAGCAAAAAAGTGGGCAGGTGGGTTGTGAGGTGTCAACACTGCAGTAACACCATATTAAAATCCCTGCACTTTCACAAATTAACTTGATGTACATGTCACTGTCTTAGTGTGTTTGATCGTGAGGATGACACGTCGTCTCGCAGCAGTGGGATGGCAGCCGTGGAGCGAAGGCAGGCAGAGAGGCGCAAAGAAGTGATGAGAGCTCAGACTCTGCCAAAGACTTCTGCCATGCAAGCCCGCAAAGCCATGATGGAGAAGCTGGAGAAGGAGGGAGGCAGGTAAGGATAAACAGGGGGTCAGCACTACTAAAGAAAGAAAAGGAGCAGGTTGAAGCATGTAAATATTAATACAAATGTGAATTTCTTGTAGCTCTGGAAATCAGGCTGTTGCCAAAGTAAACAAGGTCCAGCGTTCCACCAGCTTTGGTGTGCCCAACGCAAACTCCATCAAGCAGATGCTGCTCGACTGGTGCCGTGCCAAGACCCGTTCATATGAGGTGAGCCAACCATCCACAGCAACCCACTGTGTGTGTTTGTGCTCTTTAATGTGATCCAGGATACCTGGAGCTGAACCTGATGATTAAAACAAGATAGGCTGAGCTAATATTTTCCTGTGCTGGGAATCCGTCACTGCCTCCTGATCTAGTCTGGTTGTTTTCATCCTCAGCATGTGGATATTCAGAATTTTTCATCTAGCTGGAGCGATGGCATGGCATTTTGTGCCCTGGTGCACCATTTCTTCCCTGAAGCCTTTGACTACAGCTCCCTGAGCCCCAGCAATCGCAGGCAAAACTTTGAGGTGGCCTTCAACGCTGCAGAGTGAGTACACACAAAAGACGTGTTTGTCTGAGTAATGTGCACTAACCACATCAGTTTGGGTGTTGAGTGAGAGCATCAGCCGACATTATGGAGAAACCACATCAACTGCGGTGAACTTTCACTGTTGTTAAAATAAAACATGAAGAAACCAGCTGAGAAAGCTACTGTAGGTAAAGACATCATCTTCCAAGCAAGGTAATCATGGTGTGAATACACAACAATCCAACACAGTTTTTATGCACTGCTCCCAGGCAAAAACACATTTCCCTTTCTTTGCATAGTCCAGATTTTCCTGTCCTTGTCTCATTTGCCTGTAAAATGCATATAGCTTTTATTTAGCGTTGCTCTTTGCCAACATCTACTTGAACCTGAAGAGACGGACCAAGAGCATGCGGAGACTCCTTGACTGATGTCAGAGTGTTAACTGTCCCTGTCTCTCCCAGGTGTATCAAGCCCCCTCAAGGCTGAGTGAGACCCATTACTACTCTAATAACTCCACATCTAAATCGCCATTCTCCACCATTCCTCTACTATGAGTAACCCATGAGCAAAGTCTCCCCAAAAACCACCAGGTTAAAAAACAAACAGGCATTTGGCTGTGCCTGCAATACCTTCCCTGCCTTGAAATCTGTTACCCTTTCATCTCCTTTTCGTTTTCTCATCCCTCTTTCATCACATCATTTTCACTTGTGAAGCCCCTCCACCTACCTGCGTGTGTGTGTTCACATGCTCCTAGTCAGATAATGTCCATTCTGCTGTTTATTATAGTGATTTATAATGTTGACACTGGCCTGACACCCAACCACAGCCCGTTTTTCCACCTTTGTGTTGCACTATCACTCACGTCCCCAGGCACTCCCGAGCCCCCCAGTACTGTACACTCACTCACACACAGACACACCATGCTGTGCACCAGTCTGTTTTTAGAGTCACATTAAGGTTGTATCATTGTGTGTTTTTATTTCCTTGTTGTTTTTTTCATTGTGTCTTGTATTTCTGACAGAACGTAGTCCTATCGAAATGGTCAAAACTCTCTTGTCCTAGTGCACAGAAAAAAACAACAAGAAACAAAAAGGCTAAATGAGCATCACCAGACGCTCATTTGACATTTTGTTTTGTCTTATGTATGTACAGTATGTGTGTGCCACATACTGTATTTATCATGATGTTCATGAAGCATGTCAACTCATGGATATATTTGTGAACACAGAATGTAATGTTATTGTTTTTTTGTGTCCTTTCTCCCTCCCTCTGTCTTTTCACCCTGAATTTTTTATGTTTGGCTGCTCACTGCTTTATCTGTTTTTTTCCCCCCCTCTTTTCCACACTTTGTCCTGTTCCTTCTGTCTTCTTCCTCTCCTCTACTTTGGTTCTGTTTGGGTCTTCCTTTCCTTCCTTTCCCCAACCCCACCCCCTACCGGTCGTGGGCCACAGGAAACTTGTGGACTGTCCTCAGCTGTTGGATGTGGACGACATGGTGAAGCTGCGTGAGCCGGATTGGAAGTGTGTGTACACGTACCTGCAGGAGTTCTACAGGGGTCTGGTGACGAAAGGCCTGGTTAAAACCAAAAACTCCTCCTAGAGTCGCAACCCACCTAAAACTGAACCCATGGTGAGAGAGGGGACGAGACTACGAAGGAACCGCACTTTGGTTCTGATAGACCTAATGGAATGGAGAGTGTGTGCGGGTGGGTGTGTGTGTGTGTGTGTGTGTGTGTGTGTGTAACTACACGTTTGTACCAGCTGATGGATTTATACCGGACGCAGTGGGTCAGAAAACTCCTTAATTGGCTGCTTTTGGATATTTGATCCTTCTTGTTAATCTGAAGCTACAGAGGTCCAAAGTACCAAACATGGTGTGCGTGTGTGCGTGCGTGTGTATTCCATGTGTGCATTTCTGCATAGCCAGACTATGGCCCAGGCAGAGAGCCAGAACCATCTGCAGCTCAACACTTTAAAAGGATCGGCTGTATCACAGTGTTTCAAACAGAGGAGTTAAGAAACAAAGCAGAGAATGGAAAGGCTTTGTTGTTCCCTGACTTGATCTGAGTTTACAGGTGTTTATGCTTTTGGATTGTAAAGCCTTTTAAAGATACTTTAATAGTAAAGTGCAGAATGACCTATGTCTACACTTCCTTAAATAACAGAGCAAATTTTACTGGCATTTATTTTCTTGTGCTGTTCCTGCTATATTCTTTGCTTGTATTGACATCTCAGAGGCTTTACAGTGTGAGGAGAGTTCGCCACCTTGTGCTGACTCTCTGCATACGTCACATGTGGTTCCTAAAACTGGTCATCCAAAGAAAGCTTTTAAAGGTTTTTCCACACTGATTTAGAGAACGGAGAGAAAAAAGGTGTATATTAAAAAATAAGTAGAGTATAATCGCACCAAGGAGGGGCCAGAGCTTGTCAATGCAGAGGTGGGTGTTGCTTTTAGTTGCTGATCATGAGAAAGCACCTGATGGATAAGTAAATAATCATGACTAAACTTGGTTTGTACATTCCTCTCTACACCGTCTCTGGCCCTCTCCCAGCCTGTGTATACATCCCTCCCCTTTAATACACACTGTTTCTTGTATGCCTGTTTCTCAGGACCTACGTCGACTGCATGCCTTTGCTGGAAGTGGAGGACATGATGATCATGGGTAATAAACCCGACTCCAAATGTGTCTTCACCTATGTACAGTCACTGGTCAACCACCTGCGCAGATACCAGATGGCCATGGGTCAGCCCTATGACCTCTGACCTGTACACGGTGAGCGTCCAGCCTTGACATGGCGTCTTCCCCCCTGGCCCCTCCCAGGCTTCACCTTCGCAGGCTGGGTCACAGAGTTGCACCTCTGATGGACACGTTGGGGGTATTGTGTTAGTGTGTCAGTTAGCTTATTATCTTTATTGGCAGTGGTGATGTGTGTTCATTATTTCAGTTCTCTTCTGGACTCGCATCGGTCACACAAAGTCCACCTTTCTCCAGAACAAGAGCACCAGTGGGTTTTGTTTAATGACTACCTATTAAGCTTTAAGATTTTGCATCATCTTTTGTACTCAAACTTTGTACCAGGGGATATGAATGAGCAGCAGCTGTGTCACTAAGCCAGTGTACTGAAAACACCTCAAGAGGAAAAAGAAATATTTTTATAACATTTCCCCTTTTAAATTATTTATACATACAGTTTGCTCTTCTACACTTGTGTAATTATTGTAATTTGTTATCTGTGCTGTTGGTAATTCCACTGAAGAAAAAAATATACGCGACCATGTAATGCAGTATTTGGTTTTCATTTTGGTACATTTACCCAGCTCTGGTTGCTTGAAATGTTAAGTAAGTTATTAAAATTCTCATAATCAGTTAGCAAATTACTATTTAATACATAAACCCAGGGATGTTTTTTTCCTCATGGTTCAAATGGATGCAACACGGTTACTGTTGAATTCCAGCACCGAGTAATCTCACCTGTCTGAACAGTGCTACTGAGAACATGCTAAAGATTTCTATCTCTCCTGGATCATTGTATCAACATTATATTATTCTAAGAAGAAAAGATGCTACATGTTTTTTTTTATTCAGGTAAGAGCGCACACACGAGGAGTGTGTTGCGGTCTGATGTCAAACAGCTGAACGGTATCATTACTTGATGTTTCTTACTGACCGGCTGCATATGTGCAAAAAAACAGCATAACTGCTTTGCCACCATTGTCCCCCTGCATCATTGCCTCACCTTGCCACACACACTCACATAGCTCCATATTAATGCTTGAGTACATTTGTTTTTAATCTATTTTTTTTTATTTTGTTACTGTGTACATTATGTTTTTAAAGTAAGCGAATAAGCTCTAGCTGAAACAAATTGGGTTAGTTTGTGGACATGGGTCTCATGAAAGCCGGCTTTCAGAATAAACATGAGTAATCGTGACATAACTGTAGATTTTACAACAAGATGCTAGGAAATAAGGGCTTTTATCCTGCTTATAAAATTTAGGTTCCTTTTGATTTGGTGAGAATTGTCTGTTAAAGCTCAGCTTTGTTAGGTTTAGAGAAATGATCTGAGAATTGTTCCACTACTGTCAACTAAAAAAAAAAACTAATACTGTTCATGAAGCAGCAAGTGCTTTCTGTAAGAACTTAAACACGTTGAAATGTCATGTTTCTGTGCACCACAGTTAAATGTGAATTAACAATTAAACCAGTTTAAGAAATGAATTTGTTTTGTGGGAGATTATTCTACACTTTAGAGCGCAAGAGCAGGAGCTGAGAGAGAGATTTTTAAAAAATATTTAATTTTTTTCTTTTATAATCCAGTTTGAATCATCTTGTGTCTATCAGTCCAACCCACCAGAAACATGTCTCATCAACCTCAGGCCGGTCAGAAGATTTTCAGCCTGGAGCTTCATTCAGTTTCACAGTAGGTAGGACGCAAATGAGACACGAGAACTCAAGACAGGTGAAGATGCTGACAGCAGCTCACACATGATGGAACAAAAAACAATGACAAATGCGCTTCTTTAGAACAAATGGCATGAAAAATGTGTTATGTGCAAATTCAGGCTGTGTCCTTCCCCAGGAGCTGATCCATGATCTGCTGGCCTTATTCTGAAATGACAAAACATTGCTGTTGTCAGGTGTAATAAGCAGCTGGTCATGGAGCAGCTGCGGGGGCCGAGTGTCGTGGTTAAATTCGTACTTTTCTCCACTCTGACAGGTTATAGGTCAGTGTGCTCGACTTCTGCATTGGGATCTGAGGATGTGTTCTCTGTGGCAAGAGAGGAAGTGGAAGGTTTGTCGGCTGGCTCGTCTTTAAATGGGCTGTCTTTGGCAGGAGAGAAGCGGAACTCCTCTGGCACCTCATCCTCAGGTTGAGCCTTCTTATAGAAACCCAGGTTCCCCAGGAGAGCGTTAATCTCAGAGCGGGTCATGTCAGACAGGGGAATCCGCTGTGGAAGAGCACATGGGTTAAAGAATGACTCCACAGTAACCTTACTTTTCTGTCACTGTTAAAGGATAAAGTTGTCATTTTCTATATTAAGAGTTTTTTAAACATTCCCCATATATAGACTAAAACCAAAAATGATTTGCCTCTATTCACAGTTGATGTCTGTCAGTTCTGGATTAGTTTAATAGTCTGTGCCTTAGACCTCTGTAGTAGGTTAAAATAAAATAAAAATAAATGCATAGCCAGGAAGACTTACATCCAACTCTTCATAATAATGGTTCAGGAGGACAAGCTCAGGGTCGGCCCCAGGAATGTGCTTCATCACCAGGTTATGGCTGACATTGTGGTCAAGGGCTGGCGAGGAGGAAAACTGTTCTTTGCAACTTAGAAATGCATAGTGTTGGGGAAGCGACTTTGAAAGTGTAGCTTTACAAGCTACTGATTAGTTCACACTGGAAGAAGTTGAACTACAGTAAAACTACCATAGGGAAACCTCTGATTTGGTTAAAGCTAAGGAGTTCAAACTGCCTTGTAAAAAAAATAAATAAATAAAAAAAAGATGAAATTGACATTGTGATACAAAGTATAATACAAAAAGTCACATGCCACTCAGTTAAGTTTATTACCTGAGACCTAAACAAAACAATCTCATCTGGGCTTTTCACAAGGACAAAACTAAAGAAAAATAATATTTTTGTTGTAAATAAATCTCGATTTTAGATTTTCTGACTAGAACTAAAACAGTAGAGAAAAAATATTTAACTTGCGCCTTTTAAACTGTTTGACCAACTTGAGCACTGGTCTAAAAATGGACCTGTTGGCTTACTTCTTGGTTTTCTAACATCTAACCTGTACAATCTTAACTGCAACAGTTTTCAACTTGTACTTGATTAGACAGTATTAACAGCTTGAACACTGGTCTAAATAATGGGCCTGTCATTTCTTTTGTCAGAGTAGCATCTCTTGTTCATATGACACATGACCTGTCTCTTTAAGTCAGTTACATTGCTGAAATAATTTTAAATCCTTCCTTTCCTTTTATAGCCTGAAACTGTTTCTAGTTCCAGTACTTCACAAAAATGGCACAAATGTAATTTAACTACTTCAGTCACTATGCAAATATAAATGCAGTCAAGTAGTGTAGTGTAATTACAGTACATAAGAACAAGTGGGTGATGTACTTCAGTCAAAGGATACTACAGAGGAATATCCTGGACCACAAAGGCTTTGACCTGCAGACAGAGATGGGCATTAACGTGATATCTGCTGGGGGTTACATGAAACCCTGAACTTAAAATGTGTCTCAGAGAGTTAACACATTCAGGTAGGGATTAGGCTTCAGGCTGCTCTCACGCTGGCTCTGTGTGCTGATCAGAGAGGACACTTACCTCTCTGAGCCTGTTCAGCTGTCATCCACCACATGTCTGGAAAGAGAGAACATTAGACACAGGAAATGGTCACAAGTACTTAGGAAAAGAAACATCGCCAGGGTTAGGTGAATGATGATTTAACTTATGGGTTGTGGCTACTGAAATGTGTCTTTTATGCATATTTTCTTCCACAGCAGCTTCTTTGTGGCAGTTTTGGTTAGGTTCCCTGTTCAAATACTCAGCAAGCCTCTCTAATGTTGTGGTGTCACTGCAGCATTGCACCTTTTGTACAGAGCACAGATTCAGGAAGGCTTCTGGGAAGGATACCTAACCCATTTTTGCAGAAATCTGAGTCTCACTGGCAACAGATAGCATGCTTTTCTTCAGAGTCGCTGGCAAGTTGGTGATTGGGTGACACCCTGGGGGAAACTGCATGCTTTCTCACAAAAAGACTGGTAGAGTTTCAGAAGGTTTTGTGCAGGAGTCTGACCTCCTGATCACACCCCGAGCCCCTTTTCTATCTTAAAGCGATCACCAAGTTACTTGGTAGTGCATAGTATGAATACTGAAAATAATAAAGTGCGAACTGCAGCCAATACAGCACAGCCTGCGTGCTCGATTGGGTAACGTAATATACCGTAAACACACTGGAGATCCAATCATTTTACTACAGCTCTATCATCTTCCTCCCACCTAGAAGAATCACTCTCGCATGCGCACAACACGAAAGTGTGAGATAAAAATCTCCATTCACACATTTCAAAGAGCCTGCCGTCACGTAAACCGAATCTATTTTAGGTGTGAATCGTAGTATAAACAAGGCTACAATGTACCTCCACCCTCGCTTTTGCGAGCCCGTCCAGTTTCTTCAGATCCACGTCGTAGGCCGAGGCGCACTGAAGTAAACTGGCCAACACGATCAGCCACATCATTCCTCCCGGTTCAGGTCGCGGACCAGGACTCGGTCTGCTCCAGGATCAGTACCTGGAGAGGTCTAGAGGTAACTGAGCTACGGAGTCGAGGGGGAGGAGAGATGATGTGCAACATGTCACGTCCGGAAATCTTGCCACGTCAAATATTTCTCTCAGAGGACACGGAGGAGCGGGCGCGCATTGGTTGTCCGCGACGTACCCATCAGATTTAATGTACAATTTATGGTTTAAACTTAATGAAACTATACACATTATGAGACATTGGCTACTTCTTTTTATTTTATTCCCTGCACGATTTATATTTCTAAACAATAATGATAGATGCTGTAGTAAAGATATTTTACTATTGCATTATGTTTTACATTGCTGCATAATTACAAGTGTCTACATGAAGTGGAAAATGAGGTAAAACGATCATAAGGGTAATGAGACACTTCTTGTTTCTGGGCAATTCTATACAAAGGCAGTCACGTGATCCCAGATTTAGGAGGAGTTACCTGTGACTACAAAAGGTGAGCATCCAGTCGAGGAATGAGGTCTTTGCCAGTTTATCCTCTGTATTATACAGACACAGGACAATTTTTTTTTTACATATTTGTGTTTGTCAGAAAAAAATGAGGACATGGACTATGAAGAACATTTTTCAAAAATGTCGAGGCAAATGCTCACAAACGTTGCAGGCATATTCAAATTTATATTGTGCTTATTTTTACTTCTGTTCTTTGTTAAAATAGTTGCTGACACAACATAATACCATTTTCAACACCACTGGAGACTGGACAGTCACTGTGTTCATTACAGGGCTTCTGGATTATATTGTACATTGAGTGAGAACAAGGATTCCTACTGTTATCTCCTTTTTCATGTGCCTAGAGGGAAGTTTGCCATTTTTCCAGATTTTATGGACATTTTTCAAAAGCAGCTCAGGAACCATTTGTTTTGAGCTGCAAACAAACAGCAGATAGGGATGTAACATGGTGCAGCAAAATGGTTTTAGAAGTCATACAAGCTGTTTTCACACATGAACTCTGGACTATGCCTGTGGAATCAGGTCTGGACTTTGTCCAGAGTTGCCCCTTTCACACATGTAGCACACAACAGGAGATAGTTCATGTCAGATGTGTTCTCACCTGTTGGAAATAGTCCGTTTGGTTTATGTGAGCAGGGAGTGCCTGGGTGGACCACGCAGGATGCATGCAACGACATGGTCACATAGCCAGTTTGTAATTTGGTGCACAATGCATGAAACGACATGGTCACATAAGTTTGTAATTTGGTCATAAACAACGGTGCCTCTTGCCATTCCTTAAATGAGTCTGATTCTGGTGCCAGCTCTTAACAACAGAAGTTTCTGAATCTTGTGGTGTCTCTAGTTGGATATTGTCATTGGTGTCTTCATTAGAAATGACTGTTTCTCTTCACCATCAGATGTTTGCTTTCTTCCAGTTTTGTGCCGGTCGCATGACAGAACATCGCCAACATACCCACTACCTCTGTGTGAATACTCAGGACTATAGGTGGCTGTTTTCTCACATGGGCTCACTTCAACTTGTGTAAACATTTTGTGGCCTTTGTAGGGGAGCTGACAGGGTTATGTTGGGGTGGACTAACTTGGACATTTGCATTATCTCATACAGCTCATCTGGGTAAACATCTTGCCACAGTATATCAGCAGGGACCGTGTGGAGAGGGTGCTGACCTTCTGCTTTCTGGGAGTCCACATTAAGGAGGAATACCTCTGGATTGCTTAAAAAGGCCCAGCAGAGACTGTACTTCCTACGGGTGCTCAGGAAGAACAACATCTCCCAGAGACTGCTGGTGTCCTTCTATCGGTGCTCCATTGAGAGCATCCTTACATACTGTATATGTGTATGGTACAGCAGCAGCACAGTGGCTCAGAGGAAAACGCTCCAGAGGGTCATTAATACAACCCAGGAGATGCTCAGAACATCGTTAAGGACACTTCACAGCCTGGACATTCACTCTTTGAACTGCTGCCGTCAGGTAGACAGTTCAGAGCAATCAAATCAAGGACCACTAGATTCAAGAATAGTTTTTACCCAACAGCAGTTACTACACTCAGTGCTGCTAAAATATAATATGCCTATGTGTGTGTGTGAGTTAAGGTTAAGTTTTTTATATGGTCTTATTTCATATGTTATGTTTTCTTTTTATTGCTGTACCAACTGGGGGTCACTACAATTTTGTTGTACGTGTTACAATGACAATAAAGGATTATCTTATCTTAAAGTCTAGATAATTTCAGGCTTCCAGTGCATGTCTGAAAGGGGCTACAATTAGTTAAATGGAGATCACCTGTGTTTAGTGAATGTGGTGTTGCATGTGATTGTTGTATAAATACATCTGCCCTTTAAGGCCAGTGCCTAAAAGGGTGCACACACACACACACACACACACCCCACTACATGTTTTGAGTTATTAATTTTATAAAGGCCACAGACATTTAAGAGGTCATGGAGACTGATGAAATAGCTTCAGGTGTTGCCATGGCAACCTCTTTATCCCATGCTTTGGCTCCGTGTTAATACATTTTTGCTTTCTTGGAGTAAATTGATGTCAAACTACAAACGTCTATAAGTTTATATGGTCGTTATTTAGGCATTTTATGTGACGTGAATATACCAGAAGACATTTTTCATCTCTTTCAGCCTGGGTCTCTCACTCCATTGTGGGAGGGGTGGGGGCCTTTTGCATGTCTGTGCCCAGGGACACACTATCTCGTACTCCGTCCATACCTAACCCTGCTGTATTCCACGAAGTCCCCCATACTGACCGCTAGGCGGCAGTAGTGTTTCATCATAAACTTTGACTACACAGAACCTTACCTTTCTAATCTACACTGTTAAATGGTATTTTAATACCCACCCTGATAGTCTGATAATGTCAAAGAAAGAGTAACAGAGAGAGAACTCTCCGTTCACATCCAAAAAGAACGGTAATTTAAGGGATAGTTGTCCTAATAGTTCTACCTGCTGTAGTTCTGTGAGCTTCAGACTGTAATCAGCTCTGAATCAACAGCAGGCGGTGACTGTTCGTTTCCGGAAGCGCTGGCCTGTCCCGGACGTCTTGCTTAATTTGAAGGGCACCGGAAAGGTACAGGACACAGGCGTGCTGCAGTCCGTGTCTCTAAACACAGGGTGGAGACATGTGTTGAGATGTAGCTTGACTGGCAAATCTGTCGCCAGCGTCGCTCCGAACCCACCTGCGCCTCCTCTCTGTCACTCCCCCGCCCCCCGAGCAAGGAAGGGAGGAAGGAAGGAAGCGGTTGGGATGCCGATGGTTTGATCTGGGAGGCGTCTGGAAAGGGAACTTCGGCGTGTGTTCTTACCTAACGTTCAATTCACATCTGTCACCGAGGATCCGGACGGACCGACCGTTACATCTACTGAAACGTTTTAGTCTAGATCCGCCAGTTGTTAAAATCCTCTGCACAAACCAGAACAGGTAGGAAATGTGATGATTAATCGGCTACACGCATGCGTTATGTTTCGACTTGAACCCCCTCAGTATTTATAATGTGTTAGACTGCGTCTCTGAATCACCAGTGTTACTGACAGCTACTGTTTGTATCGCTGAAAGCTGATTCTCTAGCTGTGGATGTGTGTACATGAGAAGGCATAGTGATATATTGATCATAACTCTGTTTGTAACGTAAAATCATGGTAATTGAGAGCAAATCAATATTCACACATTTCCCACCTTTTGCAGTGCATGCTACTGAATCTTCATGATGTAGTTGCTCATAAGCTCCATCTGATAATTTCTTCCCTCTTCTCTGACACATCTGTACACATACATGCACACTCAGGCACCGATGTGTCTGAAAACAAAACACTGAATTAAAATGACCTTCTTCCTCTTTTACAGCTAGAAAAATTGTCCTTGGTGCAAACATATATTAAGGCCAGATACTGTATTTGCTGTTGCTGCCAACATTCAACTGAAACATTAGTCATTTCTGCTCTAGCATGTGATTACTTCCTATGGGCCAAATACTAGTAACCACCACCCTCAAAGTATACAAGAGAGCGTCTTCTAGTGTTTAAATAAGAGGATATACTAGATATCAAATGACACTTCCTGTTACAAATCTTCAGGTGTATTTGCATGTTCTGTATGGTTATATCAGATAAACTAACTCATGTTATCAGTGTATTGTTTGCTAACAGTTTCAGTTTTCTCCTGCAATAATTCACTGAAATGTAACTGATCCACTGAGGGACAGTTTAGGTGCAAGCAGAATAATCTGTAGCTACACTGGATTCCAAAATGATGCATTTAATTTTAGTCCCAGTGCAATGTTTATCACTCCCCCAGCCGGTTTCCTCAGAAGCTAGTGGTTTGGTTTTGGCAAGGCCATTGGCGTGTTTCTTTGTCGTTATTTGAAAACCGGAAACTAGGCAGGAAGGAACATGTGCAGTTAAGCAACATCTGTAAGATAGTGTGCAGACATTGATACACAGGCATCAGGTCTGTTTCACATGCTGCCAATTTTTTTTTATTATCTGTTGACATTCTGTCATTGGATTTGTGTGCATAGACAATGTTTATTCTAATGACATGTATCAGTTATTTGGTAGACCAGATGTTCTTTGTGCATCTGGCAACCATTTTTGTCTACAGAGAGCTTTTAAAACAGAATGAAGCTATGTGGATGCTTTTTTATAATAGTTAATTGACAGAAACTGAAATTAAAACTTACAGTATAATTTTGCAGTGCAGACACTATACTGTAAGTTGTCAGCGCATGTCTTCAGTGTTAGTGTCCTGCAGCTGTGGCTATGACCTGATCAGAATGATGAGGCCCACTAGATACAGAGGAGGATACTCTGTGGTGCTAGGACCTGGTGGAGACATTTAAAGCGGCATAGCAGCAGCTGCCAGTGTTATTTTAGTCCGGGTCATCATTAGTATCCCTGTCACAGGGGCATATGGACCTTGAGGCCCTGAACACCAACGCTCTGCTCAGCTGTAGTGTCGATATTTAAAACACTAAATGTGATCAGCATCACAGCTGGAGTCTACAGAATGCAACCATGCAGCTCTGAGGATTAAGGATGTAAGATTATTCAGTATGAGGATATAAATGACGTCCTTTCATTTAACCGCTAGAGAAAACAAACAAACAAAAAAAAGGCTTCTGACCATTCGACTCACTCAGTCATCCAAAATTATCCATGTTGTCAAATAACCCTATTGGACGAGCCAAAAAGGCTGGCTAGAGCCTGCTGTTTGGGCTTCGCTGCATCCGTCCTGGCTCGCTCAGCTCTCACCCCCTCAGGAGGGTGCATGTAAACACCATGACACATTTGTTGTTATCAAGTCATTCCACCCTCTCCTCGGCGAACATGAGTGGCAAGGCATATGTTTGGCTGTTGATGTCGTACATCAGGAAAATGAACAGTTTTAGTGTAGTGAAACACTAAAGGCACTGTGTTTACATTTGACTTCTACACCTGCTTCTTCCACTTTAATCAGTGGCCACAATCTCACAGTTTAGTGTTTGCTTTTTTCATTATCACCTTCAAAGAGATGACGCACTGTTCCTCCTCATTCCAAGCTATTTTTGTGCACTATCTCATACATGCTCTCATTCCCATGGCCACTTTCATTCTTTTGTTTTTTTCCCCTCATGTTGCCGAACTGCACATTACTGCTGATTATGATCTATGTCTGTTTGTTGTGACAGTGGCCACTGGGCCTGTGGCATTTGATTGTCATTGATAGTGACTGAGGGGTGATTTGGCTAGAGGAAATGATACAGAACACGTTGGCTAGAAGAGCATAAGTATCACTCAGAGCACAGGGGGAATAAGAGAGGAAAGGAATGAAAAGAAAGAGTCTGTGCCAGGAGGAGTACTGGAACTCAGCTTGATGTGAAGGGTAAAGTAGGGGTGAGTGATTTAGTGTCCATTGCAGTGAAGGTGAGAACAGCAGAGACTGGGAGAAGATGGGCAGAGAGGATTAGAGAACGTGGATGATAAGAGAGAGAGAGAGAGAGATGGGGAATTAAATCTTGGGAAAAACAGACAGTGCCAGAGGGAAGTGTGAAAGGATCAATCTAGAGACAGTCTGCAAAGAGACAGTGTTGTCGCTGAATGGGCTGCCTCTCTTGGCTGTCTCGTTTCCCTCGGCTCGTTTTGCACCCACCCACTCCCACGTGTGCCCAATCATCCTGGCTCCCTCCTCCACACTCCCCCACCCCCCCTCTAAATACCATACATGGGCCATAGGAATACATTATGCCCAGGCAGGCACCAGGTTATTGGTCGGCTGAGAGACCAACATGTTTCTGGGCACATGTGGAGCACAGCTCTCCTCTGTGCGTGGAAGTCACAACCTCTTCAAGGTCATGTGAATAATTGTGAGAGAGGCCTGTTATTTCTCAGTCGCTAAGCAGATCACCCTCTCTCCCTTGACTGAAAACGTGTCTGTAATGCACGGGACATTTTTTTCAACCATGTGGAATATGATTAGTTGATGTCTGTCATGATTTGGCTGTGCACTCCATTACCCTTCGGTTAGGTGTCCTCGCACCATCATAAAAAGACATGACACTGGTATTTTCAGTCCTTTTCCCACATGTCACAGTCGTCACTGACTAATGGATTTAGGTCGTTCCGTTTTGTGCCCCAATCAGCTCTTCTAAGGCTTCAACCTGTCCACATCTGGTGCTCATTTTTCTTTTAGGAATTTAACATCTGACCAATCCTTGCTTGTTTTTATTTTTACAGCTTTCCTCCTTTGATTTGCCATTAATCATAGCACAGCAGATATCACCATGTTTGAATCAGCTGGCTTAAATTCTTCCTTAATAGCTGCCCTTCTCCTTCACTCTCTCTTTGTCTGATGCTGTTGACTTTTTCATGTATTTTGTTCTTTCAAATGTCTCCTCCCGTTGGTATGTGCAGTTGTATTCATCCGTTGTCAAGGCAATAAGGCAGGTAATTGAACAGTCATGATGGTGGAAGCTCGGATGACTCACTCAGTTGTGCTGATGGATCATGAGGGCATCATGACAGCCCTGTACTCAGCAGCTGAATTGGCCTGTCATTAGAGAAAGAGGCTGCATGTTCTGCTGTCCATTGTTTCAGTGGTAGAAATCCTCCTTGTGCTTTCTTAGCTCCTTTTTTAGTTTATTTTCCTTTTTACATTATCACCATTGCATGTGTTTTGGTCCTTACACGAATCCCACTACACAAGAATGTTCAGTCTTTTTTTTGAATCCCTCCGTATTCCTCTGATACTACACAAGAATGTTCAGTCTTTTTTTTTTCTTTGTTCACAGAAATCTTAAGAAATGGACCAAGACAGGCAGAAACGAGAAGACAACCCAAATGGAGCAACCAAAGCTTTAACAACAACTCCAGCCACAGATCCCACTCCCGGTCAGGCTGCGTCTCCCTTCAGGCCTCGGCGGCCACAGAGAAGCGCCAGAATAGAGGCTTCTCTAGACATCTTTGAACCCAAAGCTGAGCCCAAAGCTGGACCCGCTCCAGTGGCTAACCAGGACAAGAGTTCTCCTGATGGCGCTGTGGCAAGTCATCTCAAATCTTCTCGTCCTGGGGCAGTCAAACCCTTAGAACACCCAGGACCCAACGTTAAGGCTGGGCCTAAAGGTCCAGGACACCACCCAGTTAGGGCTGCCTCAGTGCCCCACCCACCTGCTAGCAGGCCTGTGCCTCCTCACCTGACCCCTCATGCACAGAGAGCCCTCTCTGTAGCAGGCACAGCTGACACTCCGCCCCAGATCGTGGAGGACTTCAGGCAAGTTCCCTGATACAGTATGTGTGTGTTCAGGATGCCTCATTAAGGCTTCTCATGATATTGTATTAAATGCTTCTTTTGGCCATGAATGTTGCTGATGCTGACATAGTGAGTGCAGTGAGTGGGTTGCCTATTGTATTTACAGCTTGTGCTGCCCCAATTTGGCCAAATAACAAATATACTTTGAGGGTCGTGGTCACTGGTATTTGGTCCATAGGAAATAATTTACTAAATCTAAAAATACTAGTAATAATGATAATCATAATATTTATTTATTCATTACTGACCACAGGTAAAGTCAAAAGGCTTACGTTAGGGAGTAGAAATGGTATGATGCACTATAGGGGTCTTTAAAGTGTGTGTGTGTGTGTGTGTGTGTGTGTGTGATATCTAGGCTATTAGATGCTGCCTCAGGGCATGAATGTTGCATCCTTTCAAAGTAAACTACAACATTAAGTGCTCAACTACACCTTAAAATATTTGTTGTTGCTTCTGGAGGAGCTCAGGTCTCTTTTGGTGGAGCAAACCCCATCTAGCTCCCACACTGTAGCTGACAGAAGGCTCCTAAACTGTCCGCCCAGACTGCAGCTATTTGTCACCGCCTCTAGCTTCCATCATCTTCTTTCATCTGCTGTCCACACACACACTCGCAGGTCTCTCCAGATTGACACCTGACATCTGTCTCTCTCTCTCTCTCTTTACAGATTGACATATGTAATGTCACCACTTTTAAAGTGATTTCAGACGTTTTCTCAACTGAACATTTTTTTTCACTTTCATTGTTCAGGGACCATACCTGATAGGGCGCAGCGTCCCCGCTGGTGCTCTTTGCTGCATTAGTCAAAAACGCCTTGGCAATGGTCCAGGACTTGTCTCCTCTCTGCAAAAGATGCAGAAGTGGCCTGAGTCTGACTTTTTATTTTGCCACAATCAAAGCGCGCAAACAGACTTTATTCAAAATATTCAACCTAACAGCAGAAATGCAAGTTCAGTCAGACAGATTGGGCTGGTGGGTGGGCCCCTTTGTATCCGTGGACCCGGGGTGGCTGCATCCTCTGTCCCCCGGCTCCCTCTGCTACAATTTGTAGGTTATGACACTGAGGTGTGTAGGAAAGGAGAGTTAATAAAAGATTGTTCAAGTCACTCTTTTCTGACAGGGTACACATCATCACTTGGAACGTGGGTTCAGCCACACCACCTGATGACATCACTTCTTTGCTGGGGCTGAATGTGGGTGATGGAAACACAGACATGTACATTATTGGGTGAGTCTTTTGTGGTGCAGTAATCATCCATTTTCTTCAGCACAAAGGCAGAAGAATCCATTTGTGTTCACTTGTCACATCAACACTGCAGACAATGTAACTAATGAGTGGCCAGGCTCAGATATGAATGTCTTTTCCCCCCCTGTGGCAACAGTACTCATCCATTTATATCCCATTATCAGAGCTTCCTCTCATCAGCTCTGTCTGTCTCCTGTTGACCCTGGTGCCTTTTCATGTGTCATTTCTCTTCAAGGCTGCAAGAAGTGAACTCTATGATTAATAAAAGGCTGAAAGATGTCCTCTTCACAGACCAGTGGAGCGAGGTCTGCATGGAGCGACTCAGCCCCTTTGGTTATGTGCTGGTCAGTAATGGTTTTTGTTATAAACACACAGACTCATTGTAAAATGCTAAACAGCTCTAATTTATACATTAGTTCCCGCTGCTGATTTGGCTCATCTCGTTCCCTGAGCAACAGACAGGGTGATAATTTATAACAGCATATCTGCTGTGTTCTGCTGCCTGCCAGGCTCATAATGCAAAGTCAAGCTCTCACTGTCCCTTGGCCTCCCTCTGTGTGCCTTTGTACTTGCACCTTGTTTCTTTCTGTTTTATAATTTCTACGCGTACCCAGTGTGGGAAGACATCTGATAGGTTTTACATAATGCATGGCAGCAAATGCCATACAAAAAGGTATATTTTCTCAAGAACTGTCTGGTGTTTTAGTGTAAGTGTGTGTGGTTGTTTGTCTACATGTCAGCCCTGTGATAGACTGGCGACCTGCCCACGGTGGACCCCGCCTCTTGCCAAATGTCAGCTGGAGCCCTCCCCTCTGTGACCCTGTTCAGGAACAAGCGGTATAGATAATGGATGCATGTATGGTGTTTTATATTTCTAAGGAAACATAGCATAGTGGTGATTCATCTGAATCGATACTTGGCTCTGCTGGCTTGATGAACCAGAGAGTATAGATCAGCTGTCAAACTGAAACAACTAGACAAATGTCTCCCAGGGTGTTGTTTTATTTTTGGATCATGCTCCTGTTAGTGTTGATGGGCCTCTGACAGTGAGACTGATGTTACCCTCCAGCAGTCTCAGGGTCTTCTACTTTATTTTAGTTTAAACCTCATTAAAATCATCTTATTGTGTACTTAATGTGAATATTAATGGTGTATCAGGATGGGGAATGTGTTAGTTTGAGGAGAAGGAAATACATGTTGGTATCTGTCAGTAGATATCCGCCTAGTCATGACATGGTGGGCAGACACGTAGTGACAAGGCACCCTGTCTGTTCTCTCTGCTCTGTGATGGTCTGCTCCGACACTAATTGTCAGGTTCAAACCGTAACTGCTGCAGTCACAAGAAAGCTTTCTCACAGCAGCCCTTCACCGCACAAAAAATGGGGCCAGCAAGACACTTTTCCTGGCTATTCACCGCACACTTGCTGATCGTCGTCTTTATTTCTGGTTGAGTGAGATACAAATCAGGTTCACAAATTAGCAAAGAGTTGGGGTTTTTTCTGGCCCTAATCTCTAATTGCACCGTGGAACACTCTACAGTATTGAATGTGTTGCTGCAGGATGATTTGTTTGCAGTGTGATTTATTGGACTGACCTTTTTTAAAAGAGTAAATGGCTCAGCATTTGATTTGCTATATTATGAATCAGCTAAACATGGATTTTAAATGTAATAGTTTTGGTTCTGGATATAGATTTGTAAATACCGGAATAACAGGGGCCAACAATTTAAGAAAAAAAAGTAAGGTACAGAATTACCAAAATCTCAGTGTCTCATTTAAAAGACTTACTTGAGAAACGCATATGTCAATTAATAAATCTACAGAGATAATAATGAACAGTGGACGAAGATGATGAAGTTCCATTGTCCGTCAGATTTAGAGACTGGAATGAGTAATTTGTTACTTTGCACTGAACCTCTTTCTAGTCTGCCCTATGAACATCACACTTGTTACTCACAGCTCATTTCTTCAGTCATGTGTGCTACAGGGTCAAACATACACCGCTGCACACATGCACCCCTTGCGGCACATTGCTTCTACAAGGTGGTTTGTTTCCACTGCCAGAGTACACACCACGAGCTCTGGCCTCCTTAATGTGCAGTGATTCATGTAAAGTAGTAGGACACTGGGCCACAGGGGAAAATGGAAATACAATATGTACCAAAGCTGAAGAGTGCAAGAGCAGGGGAGAAGAAAGTGAAGAAGAGCAGCAGAAATGGACACACACAGCAAACCAGACTCGGAATGAATTAGTTTTATTGATGTTTTGAGTGCAAGTTAAAAAGATATTTATACAGTTGAGCTGAACTTGAGCGTTCTCTTTTCAGAGCTGACTTCTCATAGCTCTCACTGTGCACCTGTTCATGTTATCCTACGCTGTTCTTCATGTCTGCCTTTGTCCTCCTGTCTGTTTCTCCTCACCTGTCTGCAGGTGACCTCCCAGCGGATGCAGGGGCTGTTACTGCTGGTCTTTGCCAAGTATTTCCATCTGCCCTTCCTCCGTGGAGTCCAGACTGAGACTACCCGCACTGGCCTGGGGGGTTACTGGGTGAGACAGCTACTGACACATTGTGTGATCAGCATTGTGCTATGGAAATTTCACACTTGGAAGCTCAGCTGTACATACGATAACATCTCTGATGCAGGTTTAACTTCACACTTGGAAGCTCAGCTTACGATAACATCTCTGATGCAGGTTTAAGCTTGCATCATTATCACCACCACCCTGATAGAGTTTGGAGAGACGCGCTGACCTTGTTCTACAGTTTCAGCACCTTTCTACTGCTTGGTTTGTCAACAGATTAGGTTGTTTGCGTTATCCATAACATGTGAGGACGTTGTCGGTGTGACAACTGTTGAGCATAGGTTGGTAATTTTGTGCAAATGAGATAATGCATGAGGGAACTGCACACCAGTCATATTATCTAGTCTTGATATTTGTTAGTCAAATGCTGTTCCATCCAGTCTTATGAGAATAAAGAGATAGATGTTGGTATCTCACAGCCAGCAGGTATTAATGCTTGGGAAGTCAAGCATAACAAAAATGAACCAAGGGCAAACTCCAAGATAGAATTATGATCACAGTACATGTCTACAGCGAGGCATCTTTAGTGTTTTAGTGGGTCAGAGCAGTCGGGAGAACAGAGGGAGGTGGTCTGCACACTCCTTCCCCCCCACTGTGCACTTCACTGTTAGCATTAAATATTGATGAAGCTACTCACTGGTCCTTAACGAGTAAACTTCCTGTGTCTCTGTGGCAGACACACACACACACACAAACACACAGTGTGTTTCAATACAGTGAAAAGTAACATACTAAATACTCTTTTTAGGAACTTTTCATCACTGATTTCATTCATTCTTTCATTCATTCATTTATCTTTTGCTTCCGGGACAAGTCAGTTACATATACATTCATTCCCCCTGATTTCAGCAATGTATGCCTTCGTATCTTTGATGATATTCAGCTTCCTGTTCTGCTTGTTTGTGTTAAAGGGCAACAAAGGTGGAGTGAGTGCCCGCATGTCAGTGTTTGGTCACACCATCTGCTTCCTGAACTGCCACCTGCCAGCTCACATGGAAAACTCAGATCAGCGCATGGAAGACTTTGAGAGCATCCTGCAGCAGCAGCAGTTTGAGGGCCAGGCTGCCACCGCGGTTCTTGACCACGAGTATGTCCCTGTACATAAACACATACACACCCAAACATAGTTTAATGAATATGTCCGATAAGTAGTAAAAAATCTGATGGAACCTCTGCGCTCTGTTGTATCTGTGACAAATAATCTGAGATTTTAGTTCATATTGATGGTTTCTGAGGGAATGATGTCGCAGTCACCACTGCAAAAGTATTTCTGTGTATATACAGTGGGTACGGAAAGTATTCAGACCCCCTTAAAATGTTCACTCTTTGTTATATTGCAGCCATATGCTAAAATCATTTAAGTTCATTTTTTTCCTCATTAATGTACACACAGCACCCCATATTGACAGAAAAACACAATGTTTGACATTTTTGCAGATTTATTAAGGTGATGAGCAGTGCCTGGTTTTCTCCACACATACCGCTTAGAATTAAGGCCAAAAAGTTCTATCTTGGTCTCATCAGACCAGAGAATCTTATTTCTCACCATCTTGGAGTCCTTCAGGTGTTTTTTAGCAAACTCCATGCGGGCTTTCATGTGTCTTGCACTGAGGAGAGGCTTCCGTTTGGCCACTCTGCCATAAAGACCCGACTGGTGGAGGGCTGCAGTGATGGTTGACTTTCTACAACTTTCTCCCATCTCCCGACTGCATCTCTGGAGCTCAGCCACAGTCATCTTTGGGTTCTTCTGTACCTCTCTCACCAAGGCTCTTCTCCCCCGATAGCTCAGTTTGGCCGGACAGCCAGCTCTAGGAAGGGTTCTGGTCGTCCCAAACGTCTTCCATTTAAGGATTATGGAGGCCACTGTGCTCTTAGGAACTTTAAGTGCAGCAGAAATTTATTGCAGGACTGCTGTATTAGACTACTTTACTTTTAGCTTGTACCTAATAAACTTGTTTGAATTTATGACTTAATTGCTCCTTTTTTTTTTTTTAGTGTGGTGTTTTGGTTTGGGGATCTCAATTTTCGCATTGATGACCTGGACATGCAAGTGGTAAAATCAGCCATCGATAACAACAAGTTTTTCATCTTGTGGGAGAAGGATCAGGTAAAAATAAGTTTAAATAACTTGTTTTCAAAAAAGCTGTTTACTCTAAAATCTTAAACTTGAGGTCAGAATGCATATGAAGATGTGGCATTTTACTAGATTATGGTAAAATAGTCAGGAAGTACATGATAAAATGTCTTGTTTTGTCTGGTGGACTCTGCACTGTGTAGGTGATTCCACTAGAGGGCAAAAGAGAAACACTCTCTTCATACTTGAGACATGATGATGTCTACTAATTGTCATTGTTACAGCTGAACATGGCCAAAGACAGTGAGACAGTGTTAGAGGGATTCCAAGAGGGGCCGCTGAAATTCCCTCCTACTTACAAGTTTGATGTTGGAACAAACACATATGACACGAGGTTGGTGTTGCCAGTGGTCACGACCACATCACTAAACTTTACTCTGTCTGAACAGTCCTCACAGGCCTGGGGATTTATGAAAAGAGCTTATTACTCTCTTTATCCTCCATGGGGTGTTTATAAATGAAGTGGTATTTAGGGAATTTCTTTCTCCTGCTCCATACCTGTCTTTCTGTTAATATCCCAGTGGAAAGAAACGTAAACCAGCTTGGACTGATCGGATTCTGTGGCGCTTGAGAGTCACCGCACCCGCCGGCGCTGCTCTCAGCGCAGGGAAGCATGGCTCCCTTTCAGGGCTCACCAGCGGGACCAAAGTGACACAGCACTGCTACCGGAGTCACATGGAATACAACGTCAGTGACCACAAACCTGTGTCCTCCATCTTTACACTGCAGGTGAGACACATCACAGTACATTGTAGTGTATTGTAATGACTTTTGACCTGTTTTTGAACATTTTAATAGTACGGCTAACAGGGTAACATAGTACGTTATTATAGTTTCTGCACAGGGGGGAAAGTAAATAAGTACATTTACTTAAGTACAATTTTGAGGCGTCTGTACTTGAAAAGTTTCATTTTCTGCTACTTCATACTTGACTTCACTACATTTCAGAGAAAAGTAGGATACTTTGTTGTCACTATATTTATATGATAACTGTAGTTACGTTTCAGAATGAGATTAATTAACACAAATGAGATACAGTAAGTAAGAGATGAGATAAATCACAAGACTTTATTGATCTCTGATGGGAAATTCACAAGCTACCCAGCAGTATGCAAAGTACTTCAAATTATAAGAATATAAGGTAGTTAAAATTTGCTCCACCTTTACCAGCTGCAACGTTAAATATGATGTGCACCGTAATGCATCAGTAATTATAATCCAATAATAGGATATGTATTAATGTCAACTGTGCCATTCTACATAATGAGTATATTTACTTTTGGTACTTTGGGGACATTTTGATGCTAATACCTTTATGCTTTATACATTATGGATGCAGGAATTTTATTTGTAACAGTGTATTTTTATGCTGTGACATTGATACTTTCACTTAAGTTAACAGACTAAGAATATGACCTTGCATCCAGTGCCAACTTTTGATACTTTGACATATTTTCATCAGTACTCTAAATTTACTGAGATTCTGTAGTTCTCAGTATTATTATTATTATTATTATTATTATTATTATTGCCAAATTCTTTTGCACTGTTTACGTTATATGTAGTTCCCATACAAGGTGGATATTCCCCTGGTCACACTCATGGTGGAGGATGAGTGGAATAGCATTGATGATGCAATAGTAAAATTCAAACTGGCGCCCAACTACTCGCGCAGCTCCTGGGACTGGATTGGGCTGTACAAGGTAACCTCTACCATATGCATGTCAGGTGTAGCATAACAAATATTTCTGTTAATTGCCAACTTTAATTACTATTACCACCCCGATAGGTGAGTTTCAAACACCACAAGGATTATGTGGGATATGTGTGGGCCAAGCAAGAGGAAGCTGACTTTCATCAGCAAGAATATCAGGTAATCTGAATGCATGCTAAGCTCTTTTCAGAGATAATTTTCTTTCACATTTAATAAATGTCTCAACTGTTTTCCAGGTAACCTTTACTGAGGAGGAGTTGCCCAAAGACTCAGGGGATTTTATCTTAGGTTACTATAGCAACAACATGAGCACCATTGTGGGTGTAACAGAGCCATTTCAGGTAATCATAGCTCTGGCACTGCCTTCTTGGGTTTAAAACAATTAGCAACAACAACAAATACATTACCTCTGACCTGACATCTGTTGTGTGTGTGCTGTTACTGCTGATGTGTCACATGCATCATTCCCTCTACTGACATTTTACTGCTATTTGCATCTCCTCCCTCCATCTCCTCTTTTTCTCCTATTCTCAGATCCAGCTTCCCACTTCAGGCCTTGCCACCAGTTCTTCAGACAGCTCTGATTTTAGCTCCGAAGACGACAGCACTGTCCACGTGAAGACGAGGGCCCGCAGTCCCAGTCCACATAAGGGCAAGCACCGCAGGCATCGCAGCGGCAGCGGCGTTGCCAGCCATAGTCGCAGCCGCTCTGGCAGCCCTGCACAAGCCAAAATGAAAGAGCCTGACGTCACCGTCACTGATGGTTCTCCATCCAGCATCGCTGCTGCAGCTGAGAGTGAGTCCTCAGGACAGCCAGCAGAGGGCAGCAGCACCGAGGCATCTGTTCATGGGAAACAAGACAAAAGCAGCAGGGATTCAGGGGTCTGATGCAATACCACATCCTGCTGTTGTCACAGGACACACAGCCAACTGTTGTCTTTCATTTGATACATTCACTACACTGTATGTTTTTCTGTGATGAAACGGTATAGGTTAAGGTGCCATCCTTTTCAGGAACAGCCATCTGGTTTGTCCAGAAGGTTTACTCTGCTTTGAGTTGCTTCATTGTGGATTTTTATTTATAAATTTTTCACTCCTGTCCTGTTTTTCTTCCATTTTTGGATTTGTCCATTCTCAGGTGTGGACAGTACAGGGAACTGACACCTTGCATTACTCAAGGATTTATGGTCATGTAGAGTAAAAGAGTGTTTTCTTAATCATTTTTAGAAACCATATTCACTGTATTCTGACATTAACCTAGCAGTCATGTCAGCAGACTGCATAAAAAATGAAAGTAACAATGCTTCTGAGAGAAGTAGTATGACACACTTGACACAAACACAAATCACTCAGTTGTGAAATGTGAATCTATTATAGTCTATTTTAGTTTCTGCAAATCTTCAAATGAAGATAGCCACGCAGTTAAACTTAGTGGTATGATTATGATCTTGTGCTTTGGAAATTCAGCACGCATCACACAGCAGCATGATACCTAACATCCAGGGAGCATTTCAAATGATCCACCAATGTGAATAAAGTCACCAGGGATGCGTAAAACATAGCAGCACCAAAGCAGATGGAGACTGATGGGGGTTAGGGGGCTCGGACATCTTCCTAACTGGAAGATCAGTGGTCCGAATACCCGGCTTGTCCAGTCCACATGTCGAAGTGTCCTTGAGGAAGACACTGAACCCTCAGTTGCTTCCGGTGATGGGTGAATGGCCAAATAGTGTGAAAGCGCTTTGAGTGTGCTGCAATGCATAGAAAAGCACTATACAAGTATAAGACCATTTACAACATAGCAGGTTTGCCAGAAATAATTGATTAGTTGTTGGCCAGTAAATCTGCTGGGCCAGCTACACTACTAAGAGCTACAGTATTATCTGACCCAGTATTGCCTTCACATACATCCCTTTAGTTAATGGGCCTTATGTACTTATGCTTGATTTTAACAGAAGTTACCTTTTAAACTAATTTACCCAGTACACAAAAACTACAACTTAGATTTTGTTAATATTAATATGTATTACAATGCTGACTTTTTGCATAATGTTTTCAACATGGAAGTGAAGAAAACTGATTTTTGATCTGGATATCACCAATAAATGTGAGCAGATACTCTACTGTGTAGGACTAGTACAGGGCTTTGAACTAAACCATAAGTGTGATAAACGGTTGATGTGTTCCATTATTTTGAAATATCTCAATGCTGATGGGATATTTCAAATATAGAGTATGTAATAGTCCTATCAAATACTGTATTTTTTGTATGATCTGTGTGTTTTTGTGTTCTGTTTTGCTCAGATCTTCTGGTGATTAGCTGACGGTGACAAAATTCACAATAGTTGTTGCGTTGTTACAGCGTGGTCACTAATGCACCATCTTAGACACTTTATCCTTTTGGACCTTTAGCATAGGACAGTTTATACTGTTGTAGCTAGAACCTCACTGTGTGTGTCTGTAATCAGTTTGTGTGTGTTTTTAATAGGTGTGTGTGTTTTGAATGATGGAGGTGGTGTGTGTGTGTGTGTGTGTGTGTGTGTGTGTGTGTGTGTGTGTGTGTAGCAGTAGCAGTGAATGGAGTGTGATTGTGTTTGTATGACGTGCTGCTGGACATACTGTACATTCCACTACTGTGATTTTTGTGCTGTAAAGTGCTGTTTTTAAGTCCTTTTTGTGGCTGTGAAAAATACTGGAAAAACATGGAAAATATAAAAATTTAGATTCAGTGTAAATGTTAGGTGAAGAAAATGCAGAAAGTTATGCTTGCATTGATCTGAATCTTTTATTTTTTATCATTCCATAGTGCATTTGTGTATTTTTTTGATTTTAAAATGAAAAATCTACTTGATCTTTGAATAGAGTAACCTGTTTATAAAGGATAAAGATTGTGTGAACCTTGTCCCACTTTAGATAATGATTTGTAGATAACTATGATCAGTTCTGCAGTCCTGACCAGTTGATAACTATTATAAAATGTTAATGAGAAAAATCTGTCTACAGAATGTTATTGATTTGTAATTAAGTGGCTAAAATATAAGAAATCTGCATGTAAAAGACAAACATTAAGTATTGTAGAAAAAGTAGGAGACAATCTATGCCACAAAGATTATTGTAATTAAATTATGTATTTATTTTCTTATGTAACTGTTCAATGAGCCTGAATTCTGCTGGCCAGTGAGGGAGCGTCATTTCAATGGAATATGATATTGCTATATTTTTTTTCTATTTTAAAATATAAAGAGAGTATTTGATTTCTTCACTTTCCCTTTTAATAAATTCAGATCAGATGCAGTTTTAATGTCTGAAGTGTAGATTGTTTTGTCTACAGTTCTTTGTACAATTGTGAATGAAATTGACAAAAAGTACAGCAAACATGTGAGACATTGATTGTTGGCATATGAGGATGGTTTATCTTTGTGAAGTCATCTGATCTGTGAGGTGAGAAGATTTTTTTAAGGGTTGCTTGCTTTGTTGTCCAACTCCAAAACTAGTGCAAGCCCTGTCCAAAGAAAAACAATATACTTACCTTCAAATTGTGGTTTGTCTGTTTCTTGAGTCTTTTCATAGATTTTTTTGTTGTTTTAAACCTGTAAATATGGTGTAATTTTTTTTATCTTGTATTACTAGTTGCCTTAGTATAGTGATCAGTTTAATTGAAAAGCATGCTCTAAGAAGGGTTTTGTCATTTTTTTCTGCTGTTTGTGTGTATGTGTGTGTGCACACACTCGTATGCATATCTTTCTATGGTTCTAATAAGTTAAACCAAGTTAAGACTTGGTTATAGTTAGAATTAAATTTAGGTTAGGGTTTAGTTTCAGTTTAGGGTTAGGGGCTATGTCAATTAAGGTCGGTTAAGTCAGAATGCCCTCACAACTATTAAAAGACCAACTTGTGTCTGTGTGTTAGAGGGACAGAATAAAAGAGAGATAGATAAATAGAGTGATTTGATGGTATAATATAAGTTTACAATGTACATAAGGGCTATGGCCTTAATAAAATAACTGTAGTTCCTTGAGTGTAACAGGTTTACAAAGTAAATAAGGGCTTAATAAAATAACTCAGCTCCCTGAGAGAAAGCCCTTTGAGCTACTAAAATGTTCACACAAGTAAGTGTTGTGTTGGTAATTTCCTTCAGTCAGTCACTATAAAGGTCATTAATGCAACTACAGTACTATACATCCATTATCTTCATTTATGTAAAAGATTTGAAATTCATTTAATGTTTGCCACAAAGTGCACCTTTATGGTTTTTTTTGTGGTGGAAGTTGGAAACTTTCTGAATTAACATAACATGCTGCATAAAGCAACAGCAGGTGTGTCTTGCATCATGCTTTTGCCCTTTGTAAAGAAGCTGACCATCATACAAATCCTGGTTGACTGTACCATTCTGATGCAACACTGGTCAGAGTTTACCTTATTTTGGTTAGACACTAAACATCATAAGCCCAAATATTATTAATAATAAAACTTGTAAATTAATTGACTAAAAGGGCAATACAAATGAGGCTGTAATGTGAAAAGTCTTGATTTTTTAAAACTTTTTGCCATCAAAATTGTAAAATGAAAGGACAAATTTTGGCTTCTCTCTAGATTTCATTACTAGGAGATAAATAAAGGTATGTATGTATGTATTATTATTATTATTATCATCATCATCCAACAGCTACTGTTAGTTATCTAACCTTACAGTAAAAGCACTGTCAGCTTTTGGTCTCCTCAAATAAAACTGTTCTTCCTTGGAGGTAAACCAGCCCTTTCAGAGACAATAATTAAACCCCTTTGCAGTCTAAAAAGGGACACATGTTATTGATTATATTACACAACATGGCTTGAAGCAAAATAGGGATATAGGAGCTTTCTGAGTAAAATATAATCATGTTATGTTGAGGTATAATATCCCTAGCCTCTGATCTTTCCCCCTTTGTCCAGTTCTCACTTTGTTGCAAATGTATTTTTTAGATATATCTGGTTATTCTACTGGGGAAACACATGCTCAGATGTTCTTGTGATAGCTAAAATGGATACAGCTTATCAAATTACTTACACCATTGTTGGTTTATACCAAACTCTAATGGTTCCTGAAACTGTTCTTTTCTTGCCTATGGCAAAATACATTACACACAAAGACAACAGGATATTTATTTTAAGACTTCATAAAAAACAGTGAAACTGCAGCAGTCGCGTTTTAAGAATGTCAATATACAAAACAAATTATTATTATTATTAGTAGTTGTAGTAAACCAAGGAATATTGGTCAGTGCTTATCCTATTACTGTAAGAAGCGATTTTATTAAATTTGAAAGTAAGAAAAACAACAATAATATATGTGTGGGAGTAGCCTATTTTAGTAGACTAACAAGGAGGTTATGAGTCAAATTTAGCTATTTCATACCGTACATACCGCTACAAATTTATGATTTGTATTTGATGACTATTAGGTTTTATAGCTTCAGATTAAATCATCACACAAAACAGGGTACAAATACCGGGGTGACACTGACACACACACACTTTGGGTGTGGTTAGATGACTACTGAGGTAAAAGGTCGTGATCGAGCAATTGTTCTCTCATGTCACTGTAACATTGTGACAGCACAGGGTGGTCGGTGTCTGCAGCCCATTTCTAGTTATAGTATGCTACCATCTCTTTACAGGCTGAATGGTGTGGACCTCCCCATGACGTCAGCGCGTCTGCCTTCCTAGCATAAAAAGTCGAGCGCTGCGCCAGAGGACCAGGCTTGCAGAGAGATTCACCGTGAGACGAGTCTACCTTTCAACGGGATCGAGAAACACCGAGATAATATTAATAATTAGTAATACGGAGTTAGCATTGTAACATATTACCTTTGGTGACAATGATGAACGGACAGATGAATGGTTTTCATAACTCCCTGATTGAGGAGGACTGCTTCTTGTTCACGTCAGAGTCGGTCGGAGAAGGACACCCCGGTAAGACCCGACACGCCGGCCTTATCATTTTGTCTCCAATGGCTTGATTTATAAACTGTATTACCACGTTGTTTATCCACCGTACTGTATGACTTAACGGTCCACTTCAGTAAGAAAATGTGGTGCATACATTCATATTTGAATGTTAAGGCCTTTTCTGCTATGTGAATTTAGCTGGCCCGGTTTCAAGAGCACGCGCTACCAGCTAATGATGTAAGTTGGCTAATCTTTGCAGAAGGGATGAAGCTGTTTGTCCCCGATCCACCGATCGCAAACTTGCCACAGCGTTTAGTACCACGTATTAACCGTAAACGTTACTTGAGAGATATTCTCTTTACAGTATAGTTATTTATCAATTGTTAATCTGTTTTCTGAACGAGTCAGGGCTAACGTGATTCCTGTGACACGCGGCTCACAGTGACGGGAAACATTGTCCGATCGCCTCAACAACAGTTACGTGTACAACAGTGTGTTATATTATGTACTTGGCAGATGTAGTTAGTCCAGTATTTGTAAATTTATCACGCTTCTTTTTCGCCCCCTCCCCCTTTCGTTGCGCGCGCTCCCTTCCCCACCACATTTGCACATGCTGAAATGGCGACTGTAAGGAGGCCGCAAGTTACTTCCTGTGACCACGAGCGGCGGCGCTAATGTGCCGCAGTTTATTACGACACCACTGTTTTTTTTTTTTTGTCCAGTTTATTGATGCCGTTGTTTAGTTGCATTGTTATTCTTATATTTCAGACAAGATCTGTGATCAGATTAGTGATGCTGTTCTAGACGCCCATCTCAAGCAGGACCCTGATGCCAAAGTTGCATGTGGTAAGAAAAAAAAAAAACTTGATTTTTCTCCTGTTTGTTAGCCAAAGTCTGATGTGTATATTGACATAAACAAAATATTTTTCTTCTGGATGTTATTGTCTTGTCTCCTCATCAGAGAGAGGAACAGTATTTCGATTTTTTTGTATGTCTTGCACATATAGTGAATTGACAATAAAAATCTTTGATCTTGATCTTCTTTGCCTTGTGCAGAGACTGTTGCCAAGACCGGGATGATCCTGTTGGCCGGTGAGGTGACATCACGTGCCACTGTGGACTACCAGAAAGTTGTTCGTGACACCATCCGTCAGATCGGATATGATGACTCCTCCAAAGGTGTGGCAGTTTGTATTTCAGCTTTATGAATTAAAAAAGCCTTTTTAAACTATGTAAATGAATAGTACCTTCATCTTGAACTCTTGTCCTGCACAGGTTTTGACTACAAGACCTGCAATGTTCTTGTGGCCTTGGAGCAGCAGTCTCCTGACATTGCTCAGGGTGTTCACATCGACCGCAATGAGGAGGACATTGGGGCTGGGGACCAGGTCATTAGTGGCTAGCAACATTTTGGTCTCTTATGTGTGATCTTCGGTTACAGCTGCCTTATTTTTGTCCTCAAATTGTTTTGAAGATGCTGATTCTATGTCTTTTACTGTGCAGGGCATTATGTTTGGATATGCCACTGATGAGACTGAGGAGTGTATGCCTCTCACAATTGTCCTGGCCCACAAACTGAATGCTAAGATGGCTGAACTGCGACGCAACGGCACTCTTCCGTGGCTCCGACCAGACTCCAAGACACAGGTAGCACTGTCGCATTTGCTGTTTTTAATCATTTTCAGTTCTCTTGGGGTTTTTTGGTTTTTTTTTTGTGGTATTTAGCTCACTTATGTTTTCACCTCTTGCAGGTTACTGTCCAGTACCGCCAGGATCGTGGAGCCATGCTTCCAGTGCGCGTGCACACAATTGTGATCTCTGTTCAGCATGATGAGCATGTTTGCCTGGAGGAAATGAGAGATACTCTAAAGGAGAAAGTCATCAAGGCTGTTGTTCCATGCATCTATTTGGATGATGACACTATCTACCACCTACAGCCCAGTGGGCGATTTGTCATCGGAGGCCCACAGGTAAATGTCAGAGGGTGTGGCTTTGGGAAACTAATTAGCCTGTGAGTTGTTCTTCTGTGTAATCTCTGTTACCATTATAGAGTGATGCTGGCCTCACTGGACGTAAAATCATTGTCGACACTTACGGAGGCTGGGGAGCCCACGGTGGTGGAGCCTTCTCTGGGAAAGATTACACGAAGGTGGACCGTTCTGCTGCTTATGCTGCACGCTGGGTAGCCAAGTCTCTGGTGAAAGCTGAGCTCTGCAAGAGGGTGTTGGTCCAGGTGAGTTTGAATGTCAAAACCCATCGGTATTTATTTTAGAGAGAGGGCCTGCAAGAGGTTCCTGTCTGAAGATTTCTATTTATATTCTTGCTATAATCATGCATGTGTGCTGTATTAGGTGTCCTATGCCATTGGAGTTGCCCATCCCCTATCCATTTCTATCTTCCACTATGGGACCTCCCGCAAGAGTGAGAGAGAGCTGCTTGACATTGTGAAGAGGAACTTTGATCTCCGTCCTGGAGTCATTGTCAGGTAATGCATAACCTCTGAAGCCACCAGCTACTCCATGAAACACCAGCACTTGGCTCCCTCCTGTTTTCTTGTCCGGGTATTGTATTTTATTGTTCTGCCCAGGATTTTGTGAATTTAATTTATTATGAAACTCTGCAGCAACAGTGCCATTTTCCTTTTGCTACAGCTGGTATTTTGTTTGGTTTGATATTGCACTATCTCTTTTTACTTAATTACATGGAATAGTAGGTTACACACATGGGAATCAGTGAGGACAAAAGTCTCATTTATTAGGGCGTGTGTGTGTATATGCTATCTTATGTAATGGAGCCTTGTAGCTCAGTTAGATAGTGGTCCTTTTGTAAACTGGATAAGTTATTTCCATCTGCAAGCTGCAGTGTCCAGTTTGGTTGGCAGGGTAAGTGTTGAAGCTTTGCGTATTACCCATTTTACTTAGTCATCTAACCAGCCTCTGATTTTATTTTTTTGGTGGCTCTCAGTATTCCCCACTGGCTAATGTGAGGGTTATGCCTGTGACAGTATGAATGCGTGCATCTGAGGTCGCTGTGTGTGGTTGCTGTTAAATATCTTGATTATGTATTCCAGGGAGCTGGATCTGAAGAAGCCCATGTATCAGAGGACTGCAGCCTATGGCCACTTTGGGCGAAACTCCTTCCCATGGGAGATGCCTAAAAAACTCAAATACTAAACTTGTTAAGCTTTTCCCCCAGGCCTGTTGGTGTATACTACAGAGAAGCCTCCAAGGTTCCGGGGTGAAATGCCTTTTTCTCTTTTCTTAATAATGCTATCATTTAACATGACTACTTTCCACACTCCACCTCTCTCCTTTTGTCTTTTTACGATTTTCTGCTGGCTGCAGTATTATGCTGGGTCCTATAGGAGGCGTGCCTCAAACTTGATGTTTTAAAGGACTGGATGGGTTCCATGAACTCATTCCCATAGTACTTGATGTTCTGTCACGTCGTGAGGGTTCCCTTGCTTCTTGTTGTGATAGACCCTGAATAGATTGCTCACCTGTTCTCCTTTTGGCTTTCCACACTTGTCAACATCGTCTGTCTTCTCTTCTCAGTGTCATGGCAGTACCATACTAGGCTATATGTGATGTCCCTCTTAATTTACTGGTGCTATTGAAGCAAGGAGTCTGCACAACACCTAATGTATTTCAAGTCCATTTAGAAGTTTAATTTGTTAGTTGGAGGGTGTTTTTGATCTAGCACCTTCCTAATCAAGTTTAGCTTCTTTGTAAACATTCCTCCTCTGTTAGTCTAGTAGTTATTTCCTGACCCAGTGTTGTTTATCCTTTTTTGTTAGCTTTATTCCTGTGTCTTTGTGGAGGATGCTAGAATGGCACAAGTGAAATTCAAGGGTTGTTCCTATTTTCACTAAAAATGCTATGCATTGCAGGATAAGGGGCAAACCAAATTGTTATTATTCAGGCTCTTCAATGAGCATAAAGCTTCACATGCCCCTACAGATCATTGCTGTTTTCTGACGTAATACAGAAAAGTCAGAAGCTGCTCACTGCTCTGGTCTGCAGAGGTTTTGGTTATACTTGATATTGACAGAAAAATTGGGATTGTTTTGTGCATTGAAATTCAATTTTAAATGAGTCATTTTTAAATGTTTCTTTTTTTTTCCTCTATGGTTTGAAGTGACTAAAGGCTCTTATACTCCGTAAGTATACTGATGGCAGGTGTGGCTACAGAGAAACCTGGTTCCCATCTTTATTCTTGCAGGGGTGTCTTCTTTGCCACAGCTTTCTTAGCTTGGTGACAGACCTCAACACTATTTATTTGTTCTCTGAAACTAGGCGTGGATACAGAGAAGCTGACGTTTCAGAAGGCAGCTTTAAACACAGTGAATCTTGAATTCCTTTTGACTTGATCGCTTCAGTGTTTTGATTGAGGCTCCAGAGTGTTGTACAGAAAAGCTTTGGTCCACCTCAACAGGAAAGTGTCACTGGCTACTATTTACTATTTAACAACCATCTTTTTTTATTTTTGGATGGCAGATCTTAGGTGGGTTTTAAATCCCATTAAACTGTCTGTACGTCTTGAGCTCTTTCCTAGCCATCAATGAGTTGGCAACATTTGGTTGGTGTAGTACAGAGAAACCAGCCTAGTTTACATGGCCATCTCATGTTGGATGGTGTTTCAAGTTTTGTTTTTTTTCCCCTTTTACCCCTCGGACATCATCCTGTTGGCTACAGTATGTGTAAGAGTGCCTTTCTGTTTCCTCTACTCCCCTACTGCTTTTTGCCCTTTCTACCAACATGCATTCAACTTCCAGAGGAACAAGTAGCTCATACTGTATTATGCTTTATGTCTAAACTGGGTAGTTTCCTTATGCTCTGTAATAAACTGCTCTTTCAAATGTCTTTGTCTCGTTACATCTTTTTGTTTTTTTTGTTTGCCACCGAGTTCATAAAGAAAAGTCATGAGGAAATTCAATTATAAGACTGAACCACAACTATTAATTCTGACAAACTGGCCAAGCATCTTTCTCCCTATTAGATCACCCAACCTGCAATAGACTACAGTGCAATAAATAAAATGTAATTGGCAATAGGCCATTTATTTATTTTACAGAATATGCTTTGGCATGACTAGAAAAACACTGGAATACTTGAATGTATTTTCCAATGTTGGAGTCATAACTTCCCAATAAGCCTACAAAGAAAAACAATACCAACATTTAGTGATGGATCCAAACTCTTAGGAGTCAGTTGCAGTTGCAGTCATGACCAAAAATATCAACACGCCTGCATTTCTGTCAGATAACACAGCACTTCTCCCAGAAAATTGTGTGGTTCTTTGGCATTCTTGTATTTATTTTGTTTGCATTGGAACAGCACAAAAAGAGGGGGGCAAATCTGATACATTCCTCATAGAACAACAAAATTGACATTCCGCTTCATATTGGGTAGCACACCCTTTGGACAAAATAACTGAAATCAATCATTTCCTATAACAGTTTCTTACACTTTTCTGCTGGAATGTTGGTCCATTCTTCTGTTGCCAACTGCTCCAGGTCTCAGATTTGAAGGCTTCCTTCTCCCGGCTGCCATTTTGAGATCTCTCCACTAGCACTCTATGGGATTTAGATCTGGACCCTTTGCAAGCCACTTCAGAACTCCCTAGCTCATTGTCTGAAACAATTTCTGGGGATTTCCAAAGTCTGCTTTGGGGTATTGTCCTGCTGTAAGACCAATGACTTCTGACCCAACTTTCTGACACTGGGCCCCAGAATTCATTGGTAGTCTTTAGATTTCATAATGCAATACATACAGTCAAAGATATCCAGTGCGTGAAGCAGCAAAGCAACCCCAAAACATCTGTGAGCCTCTCCAAGAAGAATTCCTCAGGTGAGTTTTAGCAAACTCTACTCTGGCGTTTTTATGTTCCTGTGTCAGCAGCCGGGTCCCCCTTGGTTCTCCTACCAGAGTGTCCCTTGTCATTCAGATGGTGAAGAAATAGTGTGAGCTGGCACTGTTGCATCCTGTGCCTGCAGGTTAGCTTGAATTTGTAAGTTAATCGAGGTTCTTTATCCACCATTTGGACACTGGAAGAGCCAGATCTCTGGAGATGGACTTGTATTCTTGAGATTGTCCAGGCTTTTCCACTACTGTGGTACTCAAATCTAGACAATTTGCTCTTCTTTCTTTTCTCCATGCTCAGTGTGGTCCACATGACACAAAGGTTGAGTCAACCTGTCCTCTTTTTAACTAGTTGCAAGTGTGATTTCTATAGTGCCAGGGCCTGTTAATTGCTACCAGTGAGTTTCATTACAAGTTAAAGGAGAACCACCTGGTTGAAATACAACAATTTCTGATGGTCTTGAAAAGGTGTCAGTCTGTGTAGAACGTATCAGGTTTAGCTTTTTTTTTCTCTGATCATTTGTTGTTCCAGTGCAAACTTGCTTCTGGACCTGAGCAGTGCAGACTACTGCGTTTGATCCCATTCCTGCCCCTTCTTATTGACCTCTGACAGCTGCCTGTACTAAAAGGTCAATAAACTGACCGGCACATTTGTTCTTTGAGAGTTATGGCACAGCCAGCTGCTTCAGTTTTTGAAGCAAGTTAATCCATGGTTGCTGTTGAGGTAGTTTAATATCCTTTGTATTATGAGAACTGAGTTTGCTCTCAAGGGTGGTGGTTTAACCTGTTATTTTATTTCCATTGAAGACCAGTTGAGCACTGTGTTTTTTTTTCTCACCAAGTAACAAGGCATGTGTAGATATTGCTGTTGCTAGATACACAGATAGGACCTAGCTGTGGTTTGAGCCCCTGTTCAATCACTGTGTGAAAAAAATTTGCATTTATTTATTTTGCTTGTTTGGAAATGTTTCCTTTGCCTTATAATGTTTCTATGATCACAAGCTTTACATGACTATTTTCAAGCAGACATATCTACAATGTACTATTTTCACTAAATGACTTACAGTCAATGGTCAGTAAGTATTTAAAAAAAAACACATGCAGGTTTTGTAGGCTAGTTACAAACTGTTAGGTATGTTTAGTCAGATAGAAATTGGGTAGATACTTTATGTATTAGAAATATTTATTGGAGAGAGGATGTCTAGTTAGACTGTTAAATGCTTAGTCATGCTTATGAGTTTCTACAGGGTACATCTGGTCAAGGATAACTAGAGAGAAGAGTTGATGACTGTCAGCAGACAGGGTGTTTAATATTATTATTATGACGTGTATAACTGTAGCCTTAGCCATAATATGTTCTTATGTTTAAGTCACGACATGTACTAGAGGTCGTGGGTTGACGTTTCTGTGTAGTATGGGGCTAGCCCAACCGAGGTGATATAATGTATAGGCCTGGTGGGTTCAGGGTCTTTCATCTTACATCTGCCTGCGAGCAGTTTGGAGGTGCAAGATACCTGAGTGTGTAATGTTAATTTTACCTGTGATCCTTTGAATAAATCAGCACTGTTTTGAAGTTACTTGGACTGTCTCGTCTCTCAGAGTTGGCAATGGTAACAAGAACTAAAGACCTACAATACCAAGATAACCAGCAGATGCCAGAAGACAGTGGTTGACTTTACTGATTGCAAATGGCTGAGATGAATCTTGCCCTGAGAAGCTATTTGTAATTTTGTAGTTAACTCTTGTTCAAGACTTATCCCTTATCTCTTTAAAGGTCTGTGCAGTTAATGATTTATTGTAAGGAATTTCATCTTAAAACTTTGCAACGTTAACAGGAATAACTATATTAACGTAAGTGACCTTAAGATTAACAGAGGTGTTCACATGTCAAAGTGAACCTTGTACTGATAAAAGAGGTTGGACACAACAGAAAAGAAATGCTTATGCTGTGACTCAGGCCTGTTGCTTGCATTTCAACCAGCCCATGTGGAACTTGGCACTTTGTAACTTTATTGCAGCATTGTGTAATGTCTGAGGAGGAGCCTCTTAGAATATATCTCATAAACTCAAGTGCGTCCCATGCAAAGACAGGTTGCATAATCTAGGAGCAGTAAGAGACAGACGTGAAGCCCCAGAATGTGTTGGCTGCATGGTCACAAAGCCTACAAGGTTGGCCTAAAGGATGGAATCAACTCTGTGAGCAACTCATTTACCTGTGTTTGCTCTGTTGCATACTTAATACGGGTTTGAATTAATATCTCTAAACCCAGAAACACAAATAAATAGAACAAGATTCAAATGAAAAAATTATGTCGGTTCATTCCCACATAGTGGAACAACCACCAAGACAAGCCTGGTGAGAGGACAAATATTGTAGCTTTCTTAGGTTTGATTGTATTGCAATTAAAAATGGTGTCTATTTTGAATTGATTTATACCATTATTTTTGTAATACATTTTATTTTCATACATAAAATGTATGGTGTGTAAACATGTTTTTCAAAGGTTGAATTAATAACTCTAAATACATTTATGCATTTATTTATTTATGCAACATTCACCACCCTATGTGCACTGCCCCAGGGTTCATTTAACATTCTGCACATGTTTTTCCACAGGAGTTTCACAGAATTAATAGCTGGCATTTATGACCTTAAATAGTGTAAGTACACCATGTCTCTGAAAGCTGGCTCAGCTCATTTAACAACATACAGCGTTACAGTATGTGAAGCTATGATTAGTATCTGTGCTCAAGTAACATCATTACATTTAGATGCCAAGTTCTGTCTGCATTTTAACTACAGCAGCTGTGCACTTCCACAGTAGCTCAGTAAAATATCTATTTTTGATTCAATGTTGGGAGGTTGTGATGGGAATATATGGCTACAGCCTTGAACAGACAAGATCACTTGCCACTGCACCAGTATCACAGTGCTACTGCAGCTGAAATGCACCAGATTGTAGAAATAAAAGTAATGCTGTGTAAAATAGACTAGAGATCCAACCCCTTTGAATTTGACTGTTTAAAGGAGATAAAGAAAAAAAATGTATGAAGCCTAAAATTATTGAATCCACTTCGAATATTATTAACAAACATTTAAATAAGGGAAACACATCTCCAAATATTTCTTCACAATTGTAGCAGTCAGGTGTGGTTTATGTCATTATATTTGTCTTTCTTGATAACATAAAAAGAACAGTGACTTGTGCTCAGCTCACACTTAAGAAGAAACAAAACTCGAGGAAAATCTAAACAGAGCATGACGTTGAGACCAAACACTCTTGGATAATGTTTCCTGGTACCTTTTCCCACTGCCAATGTGTAGAGTTGTCATAGTGGAAGAGGAGAAGGTCAGCTGTTTAGTTGAGGTCAGGTGGTTTTCCTGCAAGGATTGGGTAACAGCTGATGCAATATTTGGAACAGCTTGCTACTGCTCTTAGTGTACTATTGCATGAAATGAAATCCACCTATGCCTCATTTAGCTTTGTGGTCAGGTGATAAACATCAATTTCACTTTAAATTAACACTGATACACTTACAGTTG